AAATTATTTATATAGACACTCAGAGGTAAATAGATTAGATATAATAAGACAATCTGAAAATATTTAATGTATCCAGATGAGTTATACTAAGTAATTACCTGTATTTTTGGTGTCTCAATAGTAATTATGAGAGGTAAGAAGATTTTTTATTGCTGAGGAGGGAGGAAGGACTATTTTGGTCTCAGGGGTTGAATACTTTGTACAAGTCCTTTTTCCAAAGTTTGGTATTGCTTTTATTGCCTTGATTTGATCATCTTGCAAGGCTGAAGTCATTCTTTTGAAGATTGCTTTCAATATTCAAAGGATTTGGTTTTCTTTGATTAATCTTAATTTCAAGAGATCACATATCTGTGAAACCTCTAACATGTAAGTGAAATCTTAATTAATTTCAATATTATTAATTTTTATTTGTTTTGATTGTTTTGTGAAACCTTTAGGACATGTCAACATATCTCTAAGGTTGATACCTCCTTCTCACAGCTGTTAAAACAGCAAGGTGTTTTTCTCTCTGCTTCAGGAGCTGAGTCTTGTCCCGCCAGGATACAGACTACAAAACACTCTTCCTAGCAGAGGTTTACACACCAGGTCTTACCCTACCAGAACTCAAGGCTCTCCTCAAGACTCAGTAGCAAAATTTTTCTTGCAGTGGAAGATGGTTCAGTTGGTGATAAGTATGCACTTAGCTCTTACACATTGACTTGCCAAATAATGGAAACGTCTATCTTTCTCTATGATTACCTAGAGTAAAGACTTTGATTGACAGGGGCAATCACAGAAAACCATGGAGAAGTACTTTAAATAAAGATTCTGTTGATTCACTCACAGAATCTGCTTTTTGAATGAACAGAATGATGAAATGTAGATCCAAAATTTCTCAGAATTACATGGTAACACAGCACCTACCCCTGCCTCCACTCAGATTCCCCAACTTATTTTCCAGTGTGACTTTTTGGGATTTTGGCATGGGATTATGGCTCTACAAATGCACTTTTGTGTCCAGAGTGCTGCTTTCCTCTTTGCGACCTCAACCCTCTACAATTGTTGTAATTCCAATTCAGAGTTTGTAGGCTTCCATACATGAACCAATAGAATTACATCATAACAGTTTCCTATTATATAGATAATGTACAAAAGAGGTTGAAGAACTGATGCTGTTGTTACCAATATTCAAAATCACGACGCTATCCAAGGGCAAATACGAAAATTAAAAAGTAGTCCTAAACATTCCGATAGCCGTGAAGATTAATAGAGCGGAGACAACAAAGGTGGTGAGCCCGATCAACCTTCGACTGTGAGGAAACTTGCCGGTTTGCAAGACTTGTTGGACGCGAAAGTATCTATACGTGCCTTATATTGGGACCACCCAAAAATAAAGTGAAAAAAAGATCAGACTAGATTCTGGAGAGGGAAAGAACAAGCGGTGCAAAAAGTAAAGACAACTCACCAATGAAAAGAAAGAGTAATCCGATGCATACGTAACAATTTCCAATCACACTGGCGAGGCTTTTAGTCCGTTTTATCGCATCTACATCTTGATGAATTCCATTGATTACGGCCTGGAGGTTGATCAGATTTTGGTTGATTTGATCGAGGGAGGATTGAATGGAGTTGGATGAGGATGAGCTGGAAAGATCGGCCAAATTATGAGGTACTCCGCTGGACGATGACTGAGGTGATAAGGGATCGATGATCGGTTGGACCAATGTAATTATTTTTTTAACTTGGGCCACTTTGATTTGTTTCGACAGTCGTGATAGTTGAACGAGTGCTATAGACCCAGGAATGGGTAAAAACGGAAAACATCGATTTTCGTCAGATTTGTACATACTCTTCATCTGCTTTATGCAATCATTAGCATCAAAGCTCACCAATTCCGATGGATGTTAGGCTCAATGAAGTTCTGAACCAAGCCAGAAACGTGCGCTCATTGGCCAAATGGTCTCTACGTAAAACAATACGCAATTGCACAAGACAAACGAAATGACAGATCAACTAATTGAATTTCACGAAAAAGGTAGATAGGCAACGAGCAAGCTAACCTGGCAACGCTTGACTTATTTTCAAGCCATGCAATGGGTGAGAGTGCTTTTGACCATGATTTAAACCCTGCAAATGGAGACATTGGAAATAATCAGGGGTCATGACTAGCTTATAAATGGATCTGAGAATTTAGAAGAAGCATAGATACAATTGTGAGCTGTTTGGGCCGTCTCGGGTTGATTGTTTAATGGATGGTGAGAATCAACAGGTGATTGAACTTCTTCATGTTCTTGATGATGGCAGAGAGTTGATGGTGAATGAATCGGTTGGTCTTCCGCCGGGTGCAAGACTTTTGTTCGCGTCTGGTCAGTTGCCTGGTGGGTGTCTATGCTGCTCTGAACCATGGAAAGCCTCCTGGAGTTGTTCCTTTGAGCTACGAAATAGTTTGTACGAGTTGAAGGGTGTGCATCAATAAATATCTTGTGAATACTGCACTTGCTGCCACATGGGGAGCTCCGCCAAACTTAACTTAATTCATTTAACTTTGTTTGTGGCAATTCCCGCTTGATCGGGGTTTCGGAATTACATAACTCTGTCTGACGCAGCAGGCCTTTCAAGCGGAGGGGAAGCGGATAAGTCGAGGCCCGGATACTCCGGAGGGGGGCATCAGATCAACTATCCGACGGGCCATCCTCGTGTCTGTGCAATCGACTTCTCGTCAAACTCCTCTTCGCGCTTGCCCCCTGCAAAAAAGACGGAAACCGGAAGATGGCGACCACTAACCCACTATGGAGCGAGGCAACTGACAAGGCAGTACAAACTCAGCTCAAGAACTGGACCCAAGAGATCGAGCAGAAAGGGAAAGAGGCAATTCATGTTCGATTACCGGCAAAAGTTAAGCTCTGTCTATTCACCTAAATCATTGCCTTAACATATTCAACAGCCAGCAAGATGTTTTATTTTATTTCGCTCCTCTATTGATACCAGTGCTTACTCCTTTGTATGCATGGGCTGTTTTAGATCTTGGAAATTAATCAAGTGATAGAGGACTTCTCTGATTCTACTCTAGGACACCTTGTTGCTACCGAGCCAACTCTATCTTCACCTCCGGATGAGCCTGACAACAATACTGGACGTAAGAAGCGAAAAACTGCCAATGGGAAAGAAGCCCAACCTCCACCAACCGATCAACCCACCCCTGGGGGAGTCAAAAACCCTGCCCGTGCGACACAAAGTCTCTTTCGCACGAATCTACAGCATCATCACCAAGCTGTACCACTGATGAATTATTCTTGATTATCCTTTTTTTTACTAGACGTGGCCAGTAATCCAAAAGTGAACGCGCACTTCATCTTCTTGAGGACACATTGGGAAGAACTGATCAACATCACCAATGCAATCAAAATTCACATTAACTTATTGATCCCCAAGATAGTAAGATTTATGCTCGGGTCTGCTTAGTAAGATAATCAATTGATTCACTTTTTTTTTGGACTGAATATCCAAAATTAAGGAAGACGGAGATACGTTCGGTGTTCAAGTGCAAGAAGAGTGTCTTTCTGAGCTCTCACGTGCACAGGATAGTGGATATAAGTAGGTAGAGCTCCTCATCGTCCGCCGATACCAGCTGAAGTTGATGATTGGATTCATTGTAACCCCATCAACCAGTCTGCTTGAAGCACAGCTCAAGCATAACATGTCTCGAGCTAAACTGGCGTCTAAATTGATCAAGTACCCGAATGTTGAAGATTATCAACTTGCCTTGGTTTGTCCTGTCTTTCGCAATTAGTCAATTTGAAACTAGTCAAGAGAGCAGGAATTTCCCTCAGAAAAAGTCAAGTTTTTTTCAAGTTCGAAATCAAATCAGCTCTAATATTGTGATTCTCCTTGACCATCTCAGCAAGAACACGATCGAAAATCGATTTTCTTATGTCGACAACACCTATTAGATCTCCGAAATATCTACGCACTTTTGACTGATCTACTTCATAAGAACATCGTCAAAATCACCAAACCGAAAGGTGCTAACTCGGATGGGATGTAGGTTCTCTCATCCATCAATCTCAGCTTTGTCTTTCTCCTCATGGGTTTTCTTACAATTTATCTATTTATGGCGACGGGGGGTTTGTTACAGGTATTGAAGGTCATGAAGAATCAGTCCCTTCTTCTCAGCTGTATCTGCTTGCCTAGGCCACTTATTGATTAGGACGACGAGTAGTGGTCGAGCTAAATGTACAGATGTCGCTTTCTTCGCCTTCGTGATTTTCAACCAGTTCTGCTAGATTTCGAAACATCACTTCTCCAACTCCCTTCGCTGTACAATGAAGAAGACAGATGCATCTTATGAAAGATGTTTTGAAGCACCATTTTGACGATCCCAATCATAGTGAGCAGCCTCATCGCAGAATTGCTATGTTCCTCAAACTACGCGCTCCACATACGAGCAGTGTAGAACTTAGCATAATCCAAAAAAAAAACATCCTTGGAATTATTTCCATTTCTTTCAAACTTCAGTAGCAGTGGGATAGATGTGACCTGCACGCCAGAATGCCTAAATTAAAAAGTCACCCACGTAACATTGGTTTCATCTGTCTCTCTGGCCGTGAGCAAGGTGGCCCAAATGCGCGTCTCCAGCTCCTAAAGCCTCTCGCGATTGTTGATCAGAATCAGCCTCTCGCGATTGTTGATCAGAATCACATCTATCATCGCTTGCCTCCATCTTAAGAAAAGTTTTCCAACTATGAACTTAGTTCTCTGCTCACAATGTCTCAAAAATAAGTAAAATAACCAGTTTACCCTTGCACTGCAGTCAGTCAGATTGTTGTTTGAGTAAGCGTGGTGTTTTGTAGTGAGGTATATAAAATTGTTTTATTCCAAATGGTTTAAAGTTGGAACTGGGAGGCAAATCATAATCGCTCTGTGTCATTTAGAATCAGATCAAGAGGGAAATTATATCGGTGGTTGAGGGAAAAACCCCAGCATCTGTCAAATCCCTCGCTGCTCAGCCAGAAGCTATTGAGAATGAAGATGAAGAAATCAAAAATTAACGATGAATGAACCCCCACAACAGAAAATGATAACTTACTTGATATGGGTTCATAGAGCAAACATGAAGAATCGCGTCATTTATTGAATGAAAGTAGAGAATTAACAGCAAGCTGAACGTGAAGATGAAGTAGGCATGGGTATGCCATAGGCCTTTCAGAAGCCTTTGAGATTGACTACTTCCGGAGGTAAGAGCTGTGGGGCTTTGCGTCTTATTACTGGAATTTGCAAGTGCCTCGGCCTCAGATATGGATTGGTTTCTGACTCCGCTTGCTCTTGCTAATAAGATCAACCTCTTCCTTTCGATTCCAGTGCAGTTGAAACAATTCTTCAAGATCTGCACAAAAAGAGAACGACGCAATTAAACTTGTGGCTTGTTGCGCAGGCAATTGTGTGGTCACATACCTGTATTAAGTAGAATCCAATTTCTTTTACTTTTCCCTCTAGCCTGGCTCTTTGAAAATTGAGGACAAATCCTGGGCTGTTTCGTTTTGAATCAAAAAAGGCACTTTGCGAAAACGAGTTGAGGGTGGAATGGACTTGGACACGATACAACGAGACATACCCTTTCAATAAGCTCAAAATTTTGGCTGCTGACTGGTTGTTTAATACACGCAGTGCAATGTCCATGGCGCCATAGAGCTTCCAATACGTTGTTAAGAGTAAAATTTCACTCCTCGCCCTTTGTTTCCGTTCTTCTGCTTCCATTTTAGGTTCCTTGGTATCGTCCTCCCTGTGTTCAACCAGAGAGCCAACCTCCGTGTTGGATACTCTTTCGAATGCCGCTTTGTGTTCCAACTCAAATATAAATTTATCTATCGCAAATCCCACAGAGCTCTTGTGGTCCAAAGAGACTTGAAAATCGATAGAGGACTGGGATTAAGCAAAAAAAACTTCTTCAGCTTCCCCCTACTGAGTCACATTTTGTTTGACTGATTATGAACCCACTGAAATGAAGATTACTCGAGTTAGAAGAGTCAAAATTGAACTTACATAAGTGATTCCATTCAATGTCAAATCAGGAATTCCTGGCACTGGTTGTATCTAAGAGAGTAGGAAAAACATATGAAAACAGAAGAGCTATTTAATTAACACCATGAAGTGTTTATTTCACCGAAGCAGAGTTTCTTATCCCGAAGAAAAAGAAATAAAGATATTATGTCTTTACCGCATGATCCAGACACGAAACCTCCGAGAACCTGTCTATCGAGAGCGAGCTGGTTTTCATTTTCCAGTCAAATGGGTGGCCGTGTTTTTTATCACTGCTAACGCTGCTGATGAAACAAGGAATTCGGGATTTGTTTGACGACTTGAAGTCAAAAGCAGAGGAGTTATAGGTACTGAATATACTGGAATTTGAAACCACGTTAGTTGAGGTAGCTTTTTGAATATTTGACGATATGAAGATAGCCATCACTGTAAAAGATGTTAGTCATGAGATTAGGGAGGTATTTTTTGTCATGCAAAATCCATATCAATGATGATTTCCATTTTCATTGTGAAGGGCTCATTCTTGTCTTGTTTCCATTGGACACTAACCAATAAAATATAAAGTTGGCCAGAGCAGCAAAAAACGAAGAATCCTGAAGCCAACGGCTAGTACAGATGTCAAAGTCTCCATCGCCAATAACAATACTCGTGTTTGATGCTCCTATAGTCCTTTTCACATTTTGGGCGCGATGGTTAAATCCAATACCTCGTAAGATATCTAGTGCAAAGGGTGTTCTAAGAAGAAGGGAAACATGAGCCAAGGAACATACCGATGGAAGAGAAGGTGGCTCGAAATAAAATCGAGTTATCGAGTTATAAAATCGATCAATTGATATTGAAAATGGTTTGATCAATAATCAATAAATAGTGGAACGGTTATATTATTTTACTGATCTTGGTGATAGAAACAATTTCCAGAGCATGCCTAGAAATAAAGCTTTCTGAAAGCGCTTACTGTTAATGTTCACATATCTATCGGTTGTGTTAAAGTTCAAAATACTTGAGCATTAATTTGTCCATCAATCAATACAAATTCACATATTTATTAGAAGATGGGAGATCGAAAAATTAACAATTACCAGAGTATTCCGTTGATTGGGAAGGCAAACAAGGTCAAGGATCAGTATGGCTGGAAAAAGAAGGGCCGCATGAATAAGATGGAAATTCCCTTGCGATTGGGTAAAAGCCTTACAATCTGATCGATGATAGCGAAACACCCGAGGGAAATCAATCTGTCTAACATCATTGCGCTTAGAAATCTGGGAGCTCATTCAACCTTTCGATTGCGCTTCAAGGTTTTTTAATTTTCGTGGAGCCGGTTGCCTCCCGAATTGTTGACTGTACCAGTGGGCGCAGGATGATAGACGAATAGCGAGCGAGCCTAGCCCTATTCCAGATAACGTCGCAGGAACCAGCACCATGCAATTTTCATACAAATACTCAATGGACAAGTTTGTCAGAATAATGAGTCGCACTCGCGAGTAGGATTTGAACCCAAGACTCCAGGGCGGTGTTCTGGCGATCAAGCGCGATTAAACAAACAAGAAAGCGCCATCCAATTTGAAGGTATCGGTCTATTGTCGATTTTCTCGGTACGAGGCTGTATATATCCAAAAGGCCATGCCGACCTGCTCGTCAATCGATTGCGAGTCGAATTTTGCAGGATTGTTCTACAGATTCACCTGCAAATTCAGAAGAGGCTGAAGTTGCGATGGGTGCATGACTCCCTATGACCCCCATGGCCCGGTGAAAACTTTCACTGCACTTCTTGGAGACTGTTGGAGGTTTTGCGCCGCACTCTTTCAGCTTGGTCGGAGCACTTGGCACTAGATTTTCCCTTTTCTTGCATCTTCTGAAAGCAAAAAGAACATCGGTTTTGTGTTATCCCATATGGAGGTGAAGCAAAGTTGGCTGTCGTTTTAAAGCAATAAAAAAACAACCCCCTCAATTTACACCAGCGACTCCCAATTAACTAACCCGTCGGGTCGCGCGGACCCTACATGTAATTACAGGGTGTCCTCGGAAACTGGTACACCTTTCACCAGAGGACCTATGAGGATTCCTCCTCAGGAGCCGGTACATGACTTTGTAGGCTTGCACCGGTTCAGCAAGGAGGATTCCCACTCAGGCATCGGTACACTTTGTACCGGGTGCCAGTGGTGAATGAGGAATCCACCTTCACTTTGCAATCCCCTGTAGTACGTACCGGTCCACCAAGGGGTATTTATTGTTGGAATTTTGTCTCTGTCTGTTTCTATCTCTTATCCTATCCTTCTTTATCCTATCTTTTTTCTTCCTCGCTCTATCCGCGCTCCTCTATACGCGCTCTCCGCGCACTCCACTCTCCTCCTCTCTCTCTCGACCTCTGTCTCCATCTCTCCTTCTTCCCCCTTCTTCTCAAACATCAAAACGCCTTCAAACGCCTTCCCCGTCTCCTCCGTCTCTCAAGCCTCAATTCTCTCTCCGTCGTCTCCTCCGTCTCTCGATCATCAATTCCGAACTCTTCCGACTCAACTCAACTCATTGAAACAACCCTAACCAAACGCTCCCTCAACCACAAGTCAAACGACTCCTCATACGAGTATAAAACATGCCGAGATTCTCTATCCCATCGCTCTTCTCCCTCAGCAGTCTACGACACCAAATCCTTCAACTGTCGTCTATCAACTAAACACCACCATTCCTCACTGCTCCGCTGTCTCTCATCCTCTCCACCATCACCTCTCAACTCCGCCAACAATTCCCTTCCTAATCCTCCTTCGTCTCCGTTTCTTCTCCTCGCTCTTTCTCTATTTTTTATCTCTCTTCTCGCTCATTGTTCAATCTCAACGTCGTCGCTCTCACATCATATCGACATCCCTTCAACCACCTCCTCTTCTCATTCCGCCGACTCTATCTCTTGAATTGTTCTCTTGGCTATTGCCAATTTGGTGAGAAAACAAATCACATTTTCTATCTATCTCTCATCGATTTGAGTATTAATGTCCTGTTCTTTCATTTGAAATAGTGTCTACTATTTGTCATTGTTTGACATCCTTTATTTTAGCCTTTCTGTTCTGTCTAAGTCAAAAGACAAATCCAACTGTGGTAAATTTCTATTTGCCCTCGTGTTTCTTTCTATGAAATGTTTTTCATCTCATCAATTCTCATATTAACCTTTGTTGTTCATTTTGTTAGTTCTGGTTCTATTTTCAGTAATCATTCCTGTTTTTCATCATTTATCATTGTTCACTCACTACAAGGTGTACTGGAGCTCCAAGGACAATCATCTCAGTGGTATGGTGGTGACGCCCAAAAAGATGGAGAGAAACAACCCCCACCAATTACAAAAACGGCGGGTAACCCTAATGTCTCAGGGGCTCGGTGTAAAGTGAGGGGGTTGTTTCAAGGCTCTTTATTTGTGGGCTGGGCATTTTTCAAATTTTCTGTCAACTTCTCTCCTCTCATTTCTCTCTGTTTGTCTCCTCTGAAGTGCTATTTTTGTCTTTTCCTTTGGTTTCTATTTGTTTTGTTCTTTCAGACTTATCTGGTTCTGTTTGTCTAGTGATAACTCACAGATGCTAGAAATCAATCTTATTGAGCATCAACCTAATTTGAATGAAACAAACAGGACCAAACCCTCTTTCTTTGTAACATGTAACTATTGTATGGCACAGGATGGGAATATTTAGTTCCCTCCTTCTAGTTAACTTTGGAAAAATTGATCCAGGGAAACTTTAACCAAACAGCTTTCCTTTGAGAATGGACATGAAATTCTCCACAATATTGAGATAGATTAGAAGTATTATGGTGACATTGCAAAAACCAATGAAGCATAGAGAGAATGATTACAGTAGTGGCCCAAACTGAAAAATCATTGTGATATTGGGGATTTGAAATCAGATTAGGATTGAAATTGGTAAACTCTGACCTTTCAATTCAAACATAGAGCAAAAGTTAATTGACACATCCTTCATTATGCAAGATGCTGATTAAGAATTAAAATTGAAATTCAAAATTCAAGTGTGAAAGAAAATGTGACACTACCTTCATAGAGAGTAGAATAATCAATGAGTTATACCAACTTTCATATATCTCTGTTTAATACTTTCATTAAGATGAGGAATAGAGAAAAAAAAGATGTCCTCAAAAAATGTGGAAAACATTTTTTCCAGATGATTTTTTTTGAATTTGATGTCAATTATATTTTCATTCTTTTGATTCCTGAAACCTTGTATCCATATTCTGATAAGCTTCCAAGCCCTGTCTGATGGAAATCTTTTCATGAGCTTTTTATAAACTGCATGATCAAATTCTTGAGGTGAATCTTGCTCTATCATCAATCCAACCATCTGGCAAATTGATTTGTAGTTCTCTGCAGCGTTTTTTAGAATCCAACCATTCTTTTCTTTGTTGATACTCCCATTTGAATGTATTTCATTTGGTTTCAAAATTATGGAAGTGAAAATATCTATATTTAGAAGAAATAGAAGAAAGTGATTCTCAACTTCTTCAATGGTATAAACCCCATGGGTTTTTAAAGAAAGATTTTTGATATTTATTCCAGATTTCTCCTCATAAAATTGAATCCAATATTTCCTTTCTGACCAAAAAACTTGTGTAGCTTTGTATTTTGAAGCTCTTCTCCTTCTTCCTTGTTCATTATTCAACTTCTGTCTCATTGCTTTAGTCCAAACCCCCTTTTTCCCTTTTTTATTAATAAGCTTTTGCTGAAGACTGCCAATTTTTTCTTCCAGTTCATTTTGGGGAATCAATAACTTGTTTCCAAGCTTTGTCTCATCAATTAGTGAACAAAAATACTGGATGATCTTTTTATCATGATCATTTGCATCTGGATTAATTTGAAAAACTCCTCTATGAAAATTGAGTGACATTTCTTCATCAATAAGTGGTGGAGTTGGATGTTTCCAGGAATCAAGGTTTTCTTTCAAATTCCAATATCCAATATTCCCATTGCTGATTTGTGGGTAAGGGATTCCTTTGCTGGGTGATGAAATTCCAGTGTTTGTGGCTGGATAGGATTCCATTCTTTCTGATTCATGTATATCCATGGGAGGTTTAAATTCTGACTTTATCCAAGGATGATCAGTGAATTCCGGTGGAGGGGAAATGTTCTTTCTTTTCCTTGATGGTATATCATTTGTATGATCCGCTGATATTGGTTCAGCCTCCCCCTTTGGTTCATTTCCAAAATTGGAATGATGTAACAAATTTTGTGCTATGAGATGGCTAAACATATCATGAGGTTCAAATGTTTCTCTACTTTCTGGGTTATGGATTTGAGAGATTTCTGACATCTTGGCCAGATTTTGGAAATAGTCCAGTTGCTCTTGGTATGTTTCCAAATCTTGAGATGAATGCGGATAGCTGTTTGAATAGTTGTCCAGATTATTTGGGAGTGGCTGCAATGATGATGATTGGCTTGAAAACCCGTTGTGTCTGTCATGAAGTCCTCCTGAATGGTGATATAAACTCTCCAACTGTTCTTCTATTCTACTTGTATTCTCAATTCCATTCTCAGACACAAATTCTCCCCAGCTAGTACCAGGAATGATTGTATCTTGATGAGGCATAGCATGATGATTAATGCTACCCCACGGAGAATTATGATCAAAAAGGGATTGTATGTTTTGATATCCTTGAGACAAAGGATAATGATGCTGGAATTCTTGTGGATTTTCATAAAAATGAATCCAATCTTGCAGAATTACATCTGAGTTTGTATTGGCTTGCTCTGACCCAAAATGTTCCCAAGTATCTTGAGTTTCTGAATCTGCGTGAAGGATGTTATGTAATTGATCCATAGTATCTGGAAAACAAGGGGAATTGAGTAGTGCTTGAAATTGGCCAACTGATTCATGTAAATGTTGGAAAGGGGTAGATGAGACTGATGTAGGGGAAACTCCTGCCACTGATAAGCTGGAATGTGGGGTTTGTATTTGAGAGGTCTGGATGGGTTCTACGGGTGCTATGGGACTAAGAATGTTGTCCAAGCTGGGGGGCACGTCTGTATTAGCCCAGTCAAACACCTGATTCAAATTATCAACTTCTACAGCATTGCAAGTGATCAAAAGCAGTAGAAAAGCACCAAGAAATGCTTGACAAGCCATGTTTCTGTTAAGGATGTAATTGAGTCCCTTTCTTTCGCATAAAGTTTTCTGAAGATACGTTGGATTGTGGTAATTGAATTCAAGTAGAAATATCTTTTATATACCTTCATCATTGGGATAGGACAGAAAGTCAAGACAAAGCCAACAAGCAGATGGTACAAACTGGTTTTCAAACCAGTCACATTCAAGAACAAAACACATCCGATTCCAAACATACACATCACCAGCTCCTGTATTTTTATTTGATTTCAACTTTTTGTCATACAGCACCCTTCGAAGACAGTTTCACAAATATGTATGTATACAAAACATTTGGTTCACAATGATGATGTCAGCACATTCCTGATGTTTGAAGACCGTATTTGTAAATAGAAAGTTTATGAGCACGTGGAAAAGGGTGATCTACAAATACACCCACAAATGTTAGCTTATCTGCTGAAACACTGCAAACACCAAGTAATCTGATCTTCAGCTCATGGTACTGATTGGCAGGTCCGTGTTTCAAATTTCATGAGTTCTAGTAATAGTCTTTCAGGTGTTGGAAATGAGACCCTAATGATCTATGTAGGAGACGCGCCCTGGAACTCCTGCTCAACTTTGATGAGCAGTTCAAGATCAAGACCTGCGTTGTTCGGAAGGACTAGAAATGAGACAAAGAGGAAGAACGAGAGTTTGCTCTCTTCTAATTTGTGTGGGATACCATAGATTCAAGTAGTCATTATTCATACAAATGGGCTGTTAAGATGAGCATCGAATATCACAAAATTTCAAGATAGCGACAAAGGATATGATAGTGAAACCCAAATCAAGCATAGAAATTATTATTATGATGACCCGAGCTAAACGCATTGTAAGTCTGGCTGGTCTTTTGGATCAGGTTGGAATGTAACTTATTTAATTCTGAATTCCATCTTTCCAATGATTTGTAATGTCGGTTTTCAATCTCAGAACTGGCAAAGTTTCCAAAAATGCAAAAAAAAGTTACTATCTGACTTGATTCCAAAACATCACGTTCACAGAAACTTACTCGTGGTTGAGTTCCAGAACGCCATTGACTTGGTCTAGTTTACCTGAAATCTTTTCATCAAGTATCAAAAGGAGCATGATCTCTTCTACCTCACTATCTGAGATTTTCAATTGCTGAGGGATGTAAATTGGGAACTCGTCAGATACAACAAGATTATTATTTTCGAAATTTTATTCAATGAAAGAAACACATACACGTGCGACATGAGCAATTTCGATTTTGTTGTACGATTGCAAGATGCCTAAAATCCATTGAGTTCTCAGGGACGTCAAGACATCCTGAATGTAGTTAGCAATAAATGGATCATCGAGAATTGTTGCCCGGTTATCTGTAAAACCCATCGATTACTATGGTTTTCAAACAAACAGGGAAGGATCAAGATGAAGATGGCTTACTTTTGATAATTTTCTCGGCTTCGTGGACATCTTGTCTTTGATAGGCCGCTACTAAGTTGGTCATTGCCACGATTTGAGGATCTTGTTTGTATCTATTGTTTAGCAGAATGGCCAAAGAATTGAATGGGATTCAAGACGTTGAATAAGCGGGCTGATTGAAGAAACTTCTCAGACGAACGGCTTGGTTTCTTGAGAATCAAACGGATCAATTCCGCTATTCATGAGCATATGCGCCAGGACCAAATATTTCAACGACGATATTCGTTGTGGAGATCCCGCTTCGTCGTAGTTCTTGAACGCCTCAAAAAAGTCATATTGCGCGGCCGTCCAATTTTCTATAAAAAAAAGAAAGGTTGTTTTTCCGGGTGAATGGTTGCTTCAGTTGCGATTTCCAGGTTATGATATATCTCCCAGACTAACTTTCAGACATGTGCATTTTGCCCCCACACTCTCTGATGATCCCCATGATTTTTGGATGGGGAATTGTTGATTTGACAGTCAGGGTTTGATCGTAAATTTCCTAAAATTGCGAGGGGCAAAGAAGGGTGAATTTTCGGGGTTAAGATGAGTAGAATAGTCACGGCCTACCCTCAACTTCTTATTCTCTTTTCGGTCAGTATACATCTGGATCTCGAGAGCCAACACTTCCAATAAGAGGGTTCCAATCGAGTTGTCACCGTCAAAACTTTCCATTTTTTGATTAGATGAACCTGATGTTGAATTGGGCGCGTTGATGGCCATGCGTAATTTTTCAATGACCTGAATAAAGATTCATTTTTAATTGAGAGTAATGAGATTGGGTGACATCCAGGTTTCATGCGGGATTATGACGAAAAAAACAAACCTGTTCTAGTCTTGTGTATTCTTTCTTATCCATCCAAATCTTGGCCAATTTCAATTCAATTTTGACGTTCAATCTCTATTTAGGCAGAAGAAGTTATGGCCAACCATCAGGGCCAATTAGTTTGAGGGGAACGTTTTATGTCGTCACGAAAGAAAACGGTTCTGCTAACGTCATTCTTGGCAGCTTGTAAGGCCTGTTGAGTAACCTCATACCATTGTTGCATTAATGAGGTATCCAGATCCTGAGCGACACCAACATAGTCCAAAATTCCGTTGATCGCTTTTTCGGCCGCGTTTCTGGTAACAGCAGTTTGGCAATAATCCAACAGCTCGGTATAAGTCTGTACAAAAAATTATGATAAAATGTAAATTTGATGAAAAAAATAATGACATGAGGCAAAGAGCTGGTCAAGATGTACTCAACTTTTAAAGCTTCTTGATACTTCCCCCTGTGGAAGTTCAACTTGGTACTCTGTTTGAGAGCTTTGAATCCCCATTCGCCCTTTGGATTTTCAGTCTCCACGATCGATCTCCAATCTGCGAGCGCTTTCTCTGGGTTATCTGATTTATAATTCTTAGCTTGGTAGTACTTATTTTCCATATCCGTGTCCACATCTTCCTGGTCATCATCCTCGTAATCAAAATCGTACTCCTGTGTGACAATCATTCGATTCTCAGTCAGCATGAGGCTACTGTATGATCCCTTGATTAACAGGTTCTCTCCTCACCTCATCACCACCTGTCGTAGAGGGATGGAGGGAGAAAAGAGGACGCGACGGTTAGACGAGGGCTCCATTGTCTGTCTTTCACTCAAATGCGTCGAAAAATAAACTGAAACGCGAACCTTCGTCCATCACTATTAGTACGAGACGGAGAAGCAACCGATCAGCCAGAGATTTGGATTATGGATTTTCAACAGTTACAACGTACTAAAGTCATCGTCGTCAGACATTTTCCGAGAGTGTTCGAGGGAGCTAGTTTGATTTTTGTTGTTATTTTGGCAATTGGATACAAACTTCGTGGTAGTGGTCCGATGAAGCAGCTGAGATGGAGTCGTCCCCTATGTATTAAATGTTTTTTTTTGGTGCGAAACTCAGCCAAAAAGGTTTTGTCCACCGATTTATGTAAGCCAACAGCCCTTGACCAGCTCACCGACCAACACGACTCAGCCAGAACTCCAATCACCTCCATCCAATATGGCATCAGACGCTGGCCCGGTCAACTATCAGGTCGATCCGATCAGTCTCCCACTCAAAAGGATGCTGGCACTTGGGATTGAAGGTTCAGGTCAGTGTCCGGATGCCAATCGGGTCACCGTCGGTAGATGCTTGTGGGTCATCATCATGAGGATCTTGTCATCTTAACCTCTTGTCTGAATCGTATGCTGACTCAAGACACTTGTTTCCCCCATGAATGTGTCTATCTAGCAAACAAGCTTGGCGTCGGGGTGATCGAGCACCTTCCTAGCGGACAGATCAACGTGCTTTCCAACCTGCGCAAGACATATGTTACCCCACCCGGCCATGGCTTCCAACCCGGCGATACAGCCAAGCACCATCGAGATCATATCATCGACTTGGTAAAGCGCTCAGTCGAGGAGGCCGGCTTAGAACTATCTCAACTGGACTGTATCTGTTATACCAAAGGCCCAGGAATGGGCTCGCCCCTGCAGACCTGCGCCCTAGTAGCTCGGACGCTATCCTTACTCTACAACTTACCCTTGGTCGGTGTCAACCATTGTGTCGGCCATATCGAGATGGGACGGCTGATCACTCAATCGATGAATCCGATCATCCTCTACGTCTCCGGTGGAAATACCCAAATCCTCGCCTACTCCCACCATCGATACCGAATCTTTGGCGAGACTCTGGACATCGCCGTCGGCAACTGTCTCGACCGTTTTGCCCGCGTCATCGGTCTCTCCAACGATCCCAGCCCCGGGTTTAACATCGAACAAGCTGCCAAACATGGCCGAAAATTAATCAACCTGCCTTATACTACTAAGGGGATGGATATCTCCCTCGGCGGCATCCTCACCAAAGCTGAAGAGTACACCAAGAGCACGAAGTTCAGACCGAAGCTGGACGGACTTAGCGACTCGTCGGAATCCAAAGATTGTTATTCCGCCGATGATCTATGCTTTTCACTGCAAGAGACGGTCTTTGCGATGTTGGTAGAGATTACGGAGCGGGCGATGGCCCATGTGGGTGCGACTGAAGTCTTGATCGTCGGTGGGGTGGGCTGCAATGAACGACTGCAGGAGATGATGAAGACTATGACTGAAGAACGCAAGGGGAAGATCTTTGCAACCGATGAAAGGTTTTGTATCGATAATGGGATCATGATCGCTCATACCGGTCTACTCCAATTCAGGATGGGCTTCACAACACCAATCGAAAAAAGTTCCTGCACTCAAAGGTGAGGGATTCAATACAATCTCTAAACCTCTACTCTATGACCTTCAGCCCCTCTGCTCCCAAGTTTGATTTTGTAACTTTTGCTTTCAATCCAGATTTCGAACGGATGAGGTACTGGTGGATTGGAGGCAATGAGATAGATTTTTCTCTCAATATCCAGCCTGTAAGCAACTCATAGGGGAACAGACTAGTACCTAGCCATGTTTTAGTTTCCGATCATGTTAATCAAGTTAGTTTGTTCGGGATGCAATCAACCCAATTTCCTATGCATAATGAAAACCCCACCACTTTATGCGGGCCTTCAAAGCATAACAATTCCTTTTATTCCCTACCCCCAGACCATGTCTCTACAAGTCTTCAGTCAGCCATACACTCCTTATCCAAGGGATGATTCATTTGAGAAGCAATTCTCCATACCATTTTGTCCTACGCCCCTTCAGGTTCCAATTTGCTTTGAGAAGCAAAGCGTACTTATAGCATACTCAACGGACCAAGAATTTCCCCACAGGAATAGATTGCTGCAACATTATCAGAGTTCTACGTTTATATACAGTTGCGATTGTAATCTCAAAACTACTATATTATCACAAAGTTCAAGAGGACGAGTATTCCAAACTTGCAATGCTAAGCAAGAAGGACGAGTTGTTCAGCTGAGACTACGCGTAGAAATTGTGATGAATTGGACTGAATGACACCTGGTCATGAACCCTAAGAGCTTTGGAACTCAAGAGCGGATATTTTATTCTTCGTGTATAGGCGATTGATTCGCTGTCGAAACCATAGTATCATTATTGATGGTTGTTGCTTTTACTGGTACTTTCCCCCAGGACAGTTGGTGTACCGAAAGCCTCCATTGAATAGATGTGTTATAACTCTTGCGGACGTGTATTCAAGAAAAGAGTGTCATTGTTCTGAGGATGGGAAAGGAATCAAATGATGGGATGTGCGACTTGTCAGGGTGCTCCTCGTAGTATCATGAAACGACGGAATCGCGCCACGAAGCCATTTGTATGATGATCCTGACTAGTTTTACTCTTGATCTTCTCCAACATTTCTCGTTCGACCTCCTCGTCATCAAACTGTTCACCACGGCTGTACCAAATGATGGTGAGGACGCCGATCAATGAAGAGATGATGCATGCCGCAATCGATAAGTTTCCTCGAGCATGGAATCCTGATACTTGTGGGAATGGCCCATGTGGTGCAGTCGACAGGTCGTAGAGCTTCGAGCCCGATAATCCTCCGGCGTTTCCACTCGATGGAATATTCATCATCGCACATTGGTCCTTCATGAATTGAGGTACTGGGAAGTTCCTTTGGTGCACTTCGGGAGCTACTATAAACATTGCTGCTAACCCGGATTGTAAATGCCACTGAAAGGAGCAGCTTTGATTAGACACACCCGCTCAGGTTCTGGATGAATGAAAATAGATCGATGGAAATAGCCTTACTTCTATATGGCAATGGAAGAGCCATGCGCCAGGGTTGTCCGCTACAAACCGAATACTGACAAACCCTCCGCCCGGAATCTGAATCGTATCTCTTCGCATAGGGTTGCTCAGTGTCTGGTTTGAGTAGGTTGGGTTGCCAGGATCAATGCTCGTTTGCTTATTCACCACTTGAAACTTTTGACCGTGCAAATGGACTGCAGTGAAGACATCATTAGCCAGTCTAAATTTTCTGATCTGGAGTCGCACATTATAAACTCACAAGGATGGTTTCCTTTATCCCAGTTGAAAACGGTCAATTCAACCACTTCAAGATGACTTATCACAAATGCATTGCTCTGAGGACCATAGATGGCCGGGCTCTCGAGCGCGTTCGCTGGGGCAGAATCGATCGTCATGACCGTTGGAACCCGAGGTGGAACGTAGGTGACGTTGTTAAAAGCTCCGCGATTGACCCCATTCTCGAAAGTTGAGAAAAAGACACTGTGTGAGGAGTACATTTTTATTAGTGAAACCTTCAAAAATCATCAAGAAGGGCAGATCCTTCTCACTTCAAATCGATGTTCTTTGTTTTTGATAAGATTGGCAAAGCCGATGTTGGTTTGAAGGCCAGGTCATCCAAAGATTTGTACTCTGTAAATAGCTCTTCGGGGGCGGTGGGTGCTCCAGGAGTGTAGATAATGGAAGAGCTGTAATCTGTGAATTCAGAGATAATTGTTCAGTGTTGATAATTCTCGACAGTCACAAACATCAAGAGCAACTCGACAAACTCAATTGAAGTCCCTCAGGGATACTATCAAACATGCCCGGCTCAAAGTTCGCGTGGATAAGAAAATTTTGTTTTGTTTCGTTCTTAGCCGTGACAAGGACTGAATACCTCTGGGCGGTAGCCAAAGACAACATATCGGTTGGCAGCGGCTCAACGTCGGTCTAGTGATTGGAAATTGGCAAGATTGTCAACAAAGTATTTAAATTTTGGGACATTCTTTGACTGACTGGTTTATGAGGCAGAGAAACTTACGCCATCAACTTCGATGACCGACATTTGGTGGCCATCTATTTTGAAGTAAAACATTCCCAAGGCACCCGCGTTCAGGATGCGTAATCGATAGGTTTTACCAGGCGAAAATGGGATCGTAGCGTTCTCGTTGAAATGCTCGCGATACGTGTTATTTTGCACGACATATACGAGCGCACTGTCTAACGACGAGAAGGATGAATTCGTGTCGTAAACTTGAGTACTGGGACGAAGGTAGTCAGACTAACCAGGGATGGGCTCAGCCCCCAGAGGATTGCTTCGGCTTAAAAAGGTGGATATCAGTTGCGAATGTTGTTGGTGATACCAATCCGAGAGTACGATCTTGAAATGGTCTGTTTGTTACTGCCGTGCCTGCTGATAAGAAAAACAGATTATTCCAAAGCTTACCGTGAATTCATCATCATAGGGACGTTTCCCCGGCGTTACTGGCGGCAAAATAACCACTGGCGAGCGCAAACCATCGACATATTGACCCTGCAAGACTTAGACATCAGTCATCATAACAGGCTAGTAAAAAAAAACTTGAACTAATTTACACACCAGAGAATGGGCATGGACCCAATAAGTTCCGACTTGAGTAGTAGTGTTTACGATGTATGTAAATTGAGCACCGGGCGGAATACCACTGCAAAATCAATCGAGTGAGGTTAGTTTTCTTTTCTGGATCTTCCATACAAGGCGGCCTCACGTACCATTGGGTGACTCCCATGGCACCGTCGTAGAAATTGGTCCCGTTGAAGAACATTCCATGGAAACTGATTTTGTTGAAGTTAAACAGAGTCAGTGCTCGCCTAAATGAATACAATGCTACAAATGGCCACTGACTTACTGAAGGGTTGTTGGCTTGTCCGGGAGGCCGTTAAAGGCATGCATTCTGATAACATCTCCGGATGTGACTGTGATCGGAGGGGGACTAATAATTATCAAAAATATTGCTCAACTCATTATCCAGCCTGACGCACAAATTCATGAAATCTAGAGAGCGCTACTTACGGCCAAGTGTTATTGACGCCGATCACGGTCCTCTCAAAGAGGCCATCGGGGTTGGCGGTCGCATAGGTAATGTTCCAGTAAAAATCCACCACCGCGGAACGAGCTTGATAAACCAAGCAACTCAGACATGCCAAGCGGCTGAGGATCTTGACTGGGCGCATCGGCCACGCTGAAGAACCGAAGGAGAGGGTCGTTTTGAAGGGGAGATTTCTCGACGCAAGTGCGAGCTTTGGAGGTCAACAATGATAGATATCCAAATGAGCACATTCACATATAGTCTCCGTCTGCGATATCGCATACATACACCCCCGTCTAACCCTGTGGAATCGATGGCGTTAATGGAGTGTGCACATGTTTTCTCAGCAACAAACGCTTGTCGATGAGCAGATCTTGTTTGTTTGGGTGTACGGTGCCACAGTTAAAAGCATGCAGCACTTCGACTGTACAAGACTGTATATGGTCAGAAAATTGCAGTTGTACAGCTCAAGACCAGGTGCCTTGGGGTATGTAGCCATTCCAGGCGCTTAATTAAGATGGAAAAGGACATCGACATCAGCCCTAGGATTGGTCAACGCCATTTAGGAGGCCCTGGTATACATAGCACAAAGTCAGACTTTTGGCATTCCATCTGAGAGACTGAGGATCAGAGATGGATGGGTGGGGATTTGTTAGGTTTGTTACATTTGGCTTCATTTATGTTCAGGGACCATGCAAGATTTTGCTTTCTCCAAAGTTGATGCTGATAAAACTTAAAAGTGAGCATCCTCAAAAGGTAGATTTTGACCTCAAAATGAACAATTAGGGCAGTTCATGCTCCAGCTGCATAATTTCTGATTTTCAATAAGGGTTGCGGATTATGCATGATTCCTAGTAAGCTTTGCACGTGGGAACTTGCTCCTAAAGTGAATGACTTCTTATCAAAATCTGTGGGCCCCCCAGTTTGGGTTTGGAGCCTTGAAAGCTAGATTTCCCTGCAAAAATCTAGACTTTTTGGGTCTAAATCAAAAACTGGTAGGGTCCAGAACCAACAGGAAGTCCTTTAGTGAAGGGGAGCTTGCCTTCAAACTTGAATATTTTTCTGGAGAATCAGCTGGAGCATTTTTAACAAGGTTTGCTCATTGTTGAACTTGCCAATGTCTGAAGGAGGATGTTCCAAACCATATGTAATGGTGAAAATTTCTTGAGATCAAGTATTTGCCAGAAAACCAAGTCTAGAGCCCCCTTCCAAATCAAGCAATTTAGCCAACAGGAAGTCCTCCATTGATTTTGAATTGAGGAGTCCAAGAAGTTAACTACCCAACTTCCGCAACCAACCCCTCCCTAGTTTTATTCATGTTATAGGTCCTCCATTCCTTTGCTGGAGTGGAAACCAAACTTGTCACTCCACTAGAGCACCATGGAAACCAATCTTGCCAAAGCCTTGTGATGAGAGCCGGTTGAAATTATAAGCAAAGACAAGGGAAAGGCACTGGTCAACAAAGCCAAAGTTGGAAAAGGTCCAAAAAATAACATATATGCTCAGACAAAGAGGCTTAAGTGTCTTTGTGTAAGACTCTGAGGTGGCTGAAGTGACCTCAGAGGAAAAGTGCGTTCAGAAATAATGATTTTATTCTATTGGGCTATGGTCTAGATGGGTTAAATAATCTAGTTACATGAGGTTCAGGTTGTGGGTCTCGGAACACTAAGAGAAGATTGACAAGCAAAATTCAAACAGAGCCCTAAAGAGCATCTTTACCAGTTGAGCTAAAAGAAAGTGATTTTAATGCACAGCTATCACTAAGTTACAATACGGACAACTGTTCAGTTGCATTGGTGTGGCTTAGAGTCAAGTTGCATGGTGTAGTTTTGAACTTGAGGTTTGTGCATAGTGTTTTCAGGAGGGCAGCAAAATGAATTACATACATGGTTTAGCTGCAATCAGATCTCAAAGCCAATTTGGCTTGAGCTTAGAAAAGCCCGGTGTGGTTGAAAACAGTGACTAAAGTGCTTATCTTGGGCAGAACTAGCCACCAGTTAAATTGCTCTCAGGGTCTCTGTGAGGTTGCAGTTATTATGAGGTGCTTTTTGACCCCTGCCCTCCAGAAGGCAAGAGACTGTAAGTGCATGTCTTCCTGTCAGGATTTAGAATCCTTGCAGAATTTGATTTACACCACTTACATCTTAATTTTTGGCAAAAAAACATTTTTTCAAGAGGACTTGTTGTGATTGCTCTCATGTGAGCTGGTCATGGTTCTGATTACAGTGCTAATTTAGGACTTGGAGCGGTCCAAAAAACACTCTAAATGGTGACCGGATGTCCTCCAGTTTGTATGCAAATACCACATGCTAGATCAAGGTAGATGGAAATCTGGTGGGACATATTCATGTTAAAATGTCACTTGTCTAACTTGTGACATTACCTGAGTCCTATTCAGCAACTTGTTCTGATAAAAAAAAACCTGAATCTTCTTCAACAAATTGCCTAATCTCAAAAACTACACCTAGCAACTGCAAAAAGCAAGTCAGGTTTAGAACACTCACTCCATTGACCATTTTTCTCCCAATTAATTCTTCATGTTCTCTCCTCTACTCAACACCTTCCTCATCTTATTCACAACACTTATTCTTCTGTTCCTTTCTTCCCTTATCATTTTTATCCTCTCATACTTCTTCAAAAACATCTCAAAATATTCAATCAATCAATTTCAACATCAAAATATCTTACCTCTCAAACTCAAGCCTCTGATCCAAATCTCAAGTCCTAAAGATCAATTCATTTAGAGGAATAACTTTCAAATAGATTTACTGTTTTTCTTCTATTTTGCTAATGATTTTGTTCTTCATTCCTATCTATCTCCAGATTTTCTTCCTGCCCTCATTTTTTAAATAATCAGTTTTCTATTCTCTTCTTTATTGAAAATCAAACTCAGGTATGCTTTATATTTTGCTTCATCATTTTTCCATTTTTATTTTTATCTGATAATGATATATCTTTCTTTTAGTTCTGGTCTTCCTATCTTTAGCAATTCTACTGTTATTTTATCAAGGGATGAAGACCAAATTTTACGCAGATAAAATTTGTGCAAAATCACAGACAACCCTGAATTGAAGTACAGCTTCACACCTCAATAAATTATTCAAGCTTCTTTTGCCTTGGGTGGATTTCAACTTCCTTGTTGAATTTCTGTGATAATGGATTCATGCCTAAATGGAATGTTGCAAAACCTTTCTTTTTTTCTTCTTTCTCCATATCCAATGTCATTTCTCATCAAAAACCACAAAACATGTCCTGCCAGCCTGTAAGCAGCTCATTTTCCTATACTAGTCTTTCCAAAATAATCCAACCTGAGCAGTACAGTGACCCCGCCTTGTAAGCATACACGATATAAGCATAACCGTGTTGTAAGCATAGCATAAATATTGATTTCCAGCAACCATTTTCTTGGTTTTGCAGTAAAATTACCTCCATAAGAAGCATACCTCCATGTAGGCATAGGATTTGTGTTGACCATCCTTATGCTTACATAGCGGGGTCACTGTATCAGAATCTCTGATCCAAGGTTGAGAATTACCAAACCTCAACTCTTGTATCACTCACTGGCTTAGTGATTTTCAAGAAATCTTGAGAAATTTCTTTGGGCTTAGTGATGGATTATTTGGTATTGTCTGGCTCACATCCTCAGGAGTCATATTTGCTTATTTCTTTAAATTTGGCAGTTGACTCGAGTCAATGCAAAAATTGATCATTCAGTTCCATAGGAAAAAAATCAACTACCCTTGAAAAATATTATGAGGTGAAATATAACTAAGCCCAAAAGAAAGTTAGAGTGTTCTCGCATTTCTACTTCAAATTTTCTATTTCTAGTATTCAGAAACCAGGAAGTCCTTGCCCATACAATACCTGTTGTGACCCAGTGGACAACTTCCCGTCGGCATTTACGACCCTCGCAGAATTTGATTTACACCATGAACATCTTAATTTTTGGCAAAAAAAAACTTTCTTCAGAAGCCTTTCAGTGAAGGCCCTCTTGTGAGCTAGGTGTGGTTAAGATTAGAGTGTTAATTTAGACCTGAGAGAGGTCTAAAAAACACTCTAAATCGCGACGGGAAGTCCTCCAGTTACTGGGTCATTATCCGAATCACTAGACCCCAGAGTATATAGCTCTAGTGAGCGAGTTTGTGATAAAATATTCATCATCATCACAAATCACATCAATACCCACAACACTTATTAATTCCATTTAGCACCTGATTCAATTGAGCCACCAGGATCCATTGCCTAAACTTAACAATATGGATTTCCCCAAGACAATTAACATCCACTACCAGTGATTTGTGAAAAAAAGCCTTCTGGAAAACTTGTTGTGCTAATTAAAAGCAACATCCCAAAAACTTTAGTTAATAATATCTGGTCATGCCAAAACCAGCTGGAGGCTGTAGCCTGTATCACGTTTCTGCATAAAAACAAGACATCATAGCTGGAAACATCAATGGTGTCTAACTTTGAATACATAATCCAACACCCAAGAAGAAAGTAATGATCAATCAAAAAAAGAAATTTCATCGGATGGGCCGATGGGAGCATGCACTGACAGAGGCCGGACCACAGGGGCATTTGTGGTGGAGCATACTGTAACGACGGCGATAGGGCAAGGCAGGGCACCATTCTGCAGCATTGCATGAATATTTGAAACAGGAGTACATAACACGAAGATTGGCAGAAATTCCAATCAGAATAATCTCTTTTGGAGTCTGAGACGTGACAGACACCATCAGGCGTTGCACAGTGTCTGGGCTGACTCAGGAATTGTTGGGGTGTGTATGTATAGAACACAAGAATCGTGACGCTTGGCCCATGGACGAGTCGGTTTCGATATTTTCATATTTACAATGAAGCTTCTGCACATTAACCTTCCGCGTCTCTCCCTTCTTCTCTGGTGCTGCACCATAATCCTGGCTCCAAATATTCTCTTCGATCTTAACGAGACACCGGAGGAGAGCTTGGTTGAAGCATCACAACCTGCTTCTCACGAGTCCATCGCGGGTTCATCATCCAATCCGATTCCAGTCAAAAATTCAGAACTAAGCTCTAGAAAACGCAAACTTGACCAGGGGCAACCTGTCAACTCGAATGCATCAGGAAAGCGTGCTTATCTGTTTCATGCTGCGGATGTCTTGAGCTCGAGTTAGGTGACATTGTATGTACTGGCTTACGTCGACTATTGAAAAATCTAACCCCAGGCCTTGATTTATAACACTGTAGATCGTATCGGACAGGACGGTCCAGCGATCCCAGATTCGATCGTGGTGAATAATTGGGTCGCTAGAAGTGCAATGATCCGAATAATCACTGCCATGAATGATAAAGCAGGTTAGCACATAAATCCAGCTGCTGCTTGAGCTCTGTACCAACAGCCTCATTTGTCTGCCTGTGTCTCTCTCCTCAGCCGATCAACTCATACGTGACGCTTTGAATCTGATTCAACCGTTGGGTCACGTTGAAACTAATCTCACGCGACGGCCCAAACTGGCGAATGACCTTCGACGCCTTTATGTTATCAAGAGCGGTCAAGTCGTGGAAGCAATCCTCAGAGGGTATTGTGACGATTTTCGTGAAAGAATTCACTCAAAAAACCTTAAAGCCAAGACTCAAGCTGTCTCGTCCAAACACGAATCCTTGCCATTTGGGCTCGCCATGCGGTTCGACCAGAAACCGGGTAAAGTTTTCAGGGTGTTAAGCGCTAGAAGTGGATTAAAAAAAACTCAGACATTTTGGGATCTAATTTCACTGTACAAGACCTTGGCGATTTCGTTGTACGAGGAGCACAACAATATCCTCAAGCGGCTCCGAATACCACCTTTTGGTATGAGGATGATGCAAACAAACATGTTGCATTGGCTAATGGGGGAGATATTTTCCCCTGCTGATGGTCATCCAGTCATCGGTACCTTGGAACCGGACAAGTATCCAAATTGGTTTGCAAACATTTTTCCCGGGACAGTCGGGGATACCCAGGCGAAGTTGATAAGATATTTCTCTCAGGCTCCTGAAGAAGCAAATGCAGATGAAATTGTGTCCCATCTGTTGGATAGCTACCTTTTCCAGACGAAATGTGAGTCAATTGCATTCAAAGAGAGGAGGAGAAATTGCTTGCTAATCTCGATGATGACATGGAACACATTTTTTTTTTTCAATTTGCGACCCAAAACTGGCCAATGAATAGCCCATTATTTGAGCTTGAGTGCATTTGCAAAATCTATTCAACAAGATCCAGCGGAAGCCGAGCGCAAACTACAATTTAGACGGGAAGTGGAAATTTCATCGAAGATAACTGAAAAAGCAGAAATTGCAGCCCTCAAGAAGGTTAAGATGACTGTGAACCATGAAGATCGTGAAATGTTTGACTATTTTTTGGAAGATTTTAACGCTCGACTACCAGAGGCGAAATTGAACCGAGTCGAGACAAGACGATATCATCCAGACTTGCCATTGGCGATGTACTTTGACAAAAAAGCCCCACTTGGTTTTCAGTCGTTGAGGATTTTGAAAGCGCAGGCGGACGAGACGAAAAATGAAAGCAGTGCTATGTTGGACTCTGCAGAAACCAACAAGAGGTTCCAAAAACTGGCGAGAGCAGTAGATTACACACACAAGAAAATCCTCATGAAATTGGAAATCATCCAACCGGACTACAATCACAAGAGGGAAGAAGCGCTCGCAGCCCTTATCGACGCGATTGTAAAACCAAAATTGGGGCTTCCGATCATAAGTGATATTCAGGCCAATAACAACATCCCTCCCTGGGAAGACATTTTCTATGCGTCTTCCACACTTTTCGGTGATACTCAGTTAAAACTCCTCACCTTTTTCTCTGAACATCCAGACATCGCTGATACTAAAGGGACTTCAGATTTCTTCTTGACTGGTTGGTATCAGGATAATCATCCAGGTGATTTCAAAGAATTGAAGAAGGCTCTGAAAGATCTAGATTAATCATTAATGAAAATTGTTTACATTCTTAAAACCTCCGGTATATATTGCTGAGTGTAATGATTGCTACATGCACATGAACTCATGCGTTTTCAAGTTTGAATCACAGACTCCGGTGCTTCTTCAAAATTGTTGAAATTATGACCAACCAACAGGTAGAAATTTCTAGGAGGAAGCTTTTTAACAGCAGAATTGATGGTTCCAAACCCACTCAGATGGGCAGAAAAAGAGGGAAAGAACTAATGGTGTTAATTTCTTGTACTTGACTGGGTTAAATTGACTAAGCACAAGAGTACAAGTTGCGGGTATGAGACAATAATGAATCAACAAAAAGGAACTCTCTAGGTACAATGCATAACACAAGCACACTCAAGAAGATAAGAAACTTCAAATGAGAGAAGATAAGCCCTCTACATACAGGGTTTTGATGACTACAGGGACAGACATGGAGAAGAATTCATAGCAGTAGTGATTAACAGACTATAACAATGTGATGTTCAAGATGATGAGAGCACTGATCAAAAGGTTATACAGCTATAACAAAAAAGCTTGCGGGCTCTGAAGTCGGAAAAAAAATCTACTGACTATAGTTGGATGCTTTGGAAGAATACAGTTCCATGTATGTATGGATTACCTTGGACCAATTAGCTATCTTTTTTCACTCATTTTAAGGCGATGCGAGTGACACCATCAGAATGCTGATGCAAATTTCAGTAGGAATAGCTTCATTTGTCTGCCTGAGCTTCCCCCATGGGGACCAGTCAGGTCCCATAGTTGCTGCTGGCTAGTATATGGCAATAGAGATGGCACGGCAGGTACCTGTCTGACAGCGGTGGGCCGCTACGCTACACTACGCTTTTGGCCCAAAAAGTGTAGCGTAGCGGCACTTTTTTCGTCAAAAATGTGTAGTGTTAGCATTTTTTTAGCGGGTTTTTGCTACGCTACGCTACAGTGCTTTTAGCGGAAAAAGTGGCCAAAAACTGCTAAAAAGTGCTGTAGTGCAGCGTAGTGGGCCCTTTTTTGTGGCACACACACGTAGTGTTAGCGGTGTCGTGGAGGAATTCCGCTACGCTACGCTGAGGGCTAACAGCAATTCCGCTGTGTTATGCTACACTAACCGCTACGGTTAGTGTAGCGGCCCACCGTTGTGTCTGATTTTCATGGAACCTGCCTCAAAGTGCTTGAGATCAAAGAACCTCAATATGTAGCACTTTCATCTCATCAAGTACCACATTGGCTTGACGAAGACACTAAGATAGCTTTCCATCAAGGCACCTGTACAGCAACACTGGGCCGCTACGCTACACTACGCTAAAGGGCCACTTAGCGTTAGCGTAGCGGCGCTAAAATGGGCCCTTTTTTCTGTAGTGTTAGCGTGCTGCTCCCGCCGCTACGCTACGCTGTAGCCCCACTAACAGGCGGCTTGTTTCTGGGTAGTGTTAGCGCATCGCTACAGCCGCTACGCTGCGCTACAGCGCTTCTAGCGGCAAAAAAGGCAAAAACCCGCTAAAAAGCGCTGTAGCGCGGCGTAACGGGCACTTTCTGGTGCCCTGAGTGCGTAGCGTTAGTGCAATTCCAACTTTCTGCGCTAACGCTACGCTGACAGCTAACGCGCTTTTGTGCCCTTTGCGCGTAGCGTTAGCGCAGAAAGGTGGATTTTTTGCTAACGCTACGCTACAAAGTAGCGCTTTTCCGCTGCGCTACGCCACGCTAACACTACGGTTAGCGTAGCTGGCCCAGCGTTGTGTACAGTCACAGATTCCAAATACCTGCCAACAGGTATACCTGTTGACAGGTACCTGTATGCAGGTATATATATGGCATCTGTACTCTCACCTGTGTCAGCCCATGCAGTGATGTGAGTGTATTACTCAAGTCCAAGTGGTACTTGATGAGATGGAAGTGTTACATATTGATGTTCTTTGATCTCAAGCACCTTGAGGCAGGTTCCATGAAAATCAGACAGGTACCTTCCATGCCAGCTCTATATGGCAACCTGTACACTTGGCTGTATTCTTCCAAACAACCTGACTGCAGTCACTGTTTTTTTATTTATTTTCTGACTTCTGAGCCTGCAAGCTTTAGCTTGTTATAGCTGTAAGTAGGAATGGGGATGGAATGAGCAAGAGGAGTAATGAAAACAGCAAAATTTCAACAAAAATCCTTACCTTGATTCAATCTTGAGCCTCAAGATTTAAAAAATACGCAAGTTGGCCTAGAATTGAGTGAAAAAGCCATTTACAGAGTCTAGAGTAGAAACCATCCCACACATTGTAACAACTGGTGCCTGTGTACTGGAGTCACAGGTCACTTGTGTGAATTCAGTTTTGAAATGAGTTAAAAGCACTCAAGAATTAGTAATTGGATCACCAGGGACTACTTGAGTACTACTGCCTAACATTGACTCATATTAATAAATTTGGGGGATTAATAAACGTACCCCCCTTTTCTGCTATCCACACCCGGTTTTTCACACCTGGTTTTCTGCTTCTACACCTGGTTTTCTGCTTCTACACCTGGTTTTCCCCAGCCTTTTTAATTAATTTTTTTGGCAATTCCGAATATGCTAAAAATCTTCTAAAATTGATCATTCTTTTTGGCCGGTATATAAAAAATCCTCAAAAGAGAAATTTTAATTTTAATTTATCTGATTCATCAAGTTTTTTTTTCTGCCTATGAGTTTTTGAGAATTCAAAGTAAATTTAAATTCATCATTGATATTGCCCAATCTTTGGGAAATCTATACAGGACCAAATTTGATTTCATTTTGGAAATCCCAACGTTGTTGGTTTTGAGCTATAAGCAAATGGACAAAATAAGGAATATCTTGAATGGTACCATCTGTATGGAGAAGAAAATTTAAAAACTTGACAATTAATAACAAGTTTTGGCTTTAATTCAAGTTTTCAAGAGTTCATAGGGTCAAAAAAAAATTGGGAAAAAATGGGTGAGAAAAAAAATTGAAGTTCTCTTTCGACGATTTTTTATTTAACCAAAAAGAATGATCAATTTTAGAAGATTTTTAGAATATTCAGAATTTCCAAAAAATGAATTACAAAGGCTGGGAAAAACCGGGTGTAGAAGCAGAAAACCAGGTGTGAAAAACCGGGTGTGGATAGCAGAAAAGGGGGGGTACGATTATTAATCCCCTAAATTTGGATGTGCTCAAAATTTCAAATATATTGATTACAATTTTGAGGGGGAAAAGAAACATTGTTTTTTTTACTAGGATTATCTTTTCAAAAAATATACTCTGTTTACATCCCACTAAAATTATTTTATTTTATTTTATTTTGCAGCTCATTTTTGTTCTCAGAAGGCCATTCACAAAATAGTTTTGTCAAACAATTCTAAAAAAATTGTCTGTTAGCTGTGCTTTTTGATTGAAAGATTGTGAGACTAGCAGAAATTTTTGTGCACACAAATGGTGTAGTTTTAAAGGTTTTTTGCTGTGCTATGGGGCACCAACCCACATTTTTGGGGGGAGTGATAATTGTGCACACACTCCCATTCAGAGAAGTGTGGGCAAGCATCCAGGAGCACACACCAATCTGCAGGGGGCTAAACACATATGTATGAGATTGGTGTGAGTTCACGCAGGCCAATTTGCTGTGGCGTGCGGGCCTGCACACCAATCTGCATAGGGGCTAAACACGTATGAATCACAGCCAATCTGCAGGGGAATCTACCCAGCAATGGATTGGTATGTGTGGACACACACCAATCCGGAGGGGAGTGTGGGAGTGCATGTGTGAGGGGGAGAGGAGTGTGGTTATCAAACCCCTCTTACTCCTGCCTCATTCCTTGTCTTCTTTTTCTCATCTTTTTTCTGTCATAGTTTCTTAGACTGATCTCTTTGGATATACACTCTAACCATCTTGAAATCCCCTCTAATATAGTCAGACCTATCAGTTTTTAATCTGACCCCCTAGCTTGCAGTATTATAAACCTGACTAAGGAGGGCTTATTTTCTCTCAAACATGCCTGCTTATATTCTTGGTTGTGGATGCTTCATTTCTGGTGTTTGTTGTTGCACCCATTTTGATTGTTCTTGAGTATTCTTTTCTTTTTTATTCATTACTATTTTTTTATTCATTATCACTTCCGCCACAGATGGATCTAATTGTATCTAGTCTATCTTCACTGGCCTAGAACATTGAAATCAATCCCTGTTGGTTCTCCTCTTCATTTGAGTTTTCCCACCTTTTGCCCCTCAAAAGGTGCTCAAAAGAGTACCTTCAACATTTCCTCTCTTCCTCTCAAAGTTAAAATTTTAATGCAAGGCTGAAAAAAATGGCTGATCAGGAATCTTATCCCTCATAGAATTGGACAGGAATCCAGGATATACTTCCATAATCTCAAAAATGGGGCCAACATGTCATAGTACACACATGCATAGCTGAAAATTGGGCCTGTGTCTCAAGATTTATTTTGCAGGTGAGCTTATACAGTACCTTGCACAACTGTAACTTTTCTTTGAAATTAACCAATCCCCTATAGAATGAAAACATTGGAGAATTTCCACCTTCTTGCATCATCAAACATCAACCAGATGACTGACTCAATTCAAGGAACATTTGATCATGTGCTTTTGACTGGATTTTGGTTAAAATTTTGAACCCATAGATATAGTATTAGTAGACCACACTTATCTAGTTTGTCTTGCAAGATTCTTCAGATAAATACAAGCATCAGTTTACCCATTCTATCTGGCGCAGATATGATTGGTGTTGCAATTTTTACTTCACTCCGATTGGCCGGCTTCAGGGGCTGGTGTGTATGATTCCATAAAATCACATCCTATTAAAAGATCTCTACCACCAATGAATGCAAAAGACTCTTTACGTGGGGGTCCTATATGAGCATACATTGCCATGACTTTCGGAGAGTTGACCAAAATTTTATTCCAAAAGAATCCTGCCCATTCTATGTTTAACAAGCACCTATTCATTTGACTTAATACATGTTTATGATTACAAATTTACATCTGTTGGAAACAACAAAGTTAAAGAGCATGCTCTTGATTATTTAATATATAAACACACAATATTAATACATAAAAACTTATATTCACTTTTCAAAAGTCACTATTAGGTCTATCTAGAGATTGATGGGTTTGATTATTCATGGTCAACTCTGACAATCAATCAGTATGGCAGCGGAAGCCTTTCCTGACCGATTGGACATGGTACGCGTTTTACCGGATCTTGTTTCGACTGGGAATCCGAAATTTGAGAGGAATCCTACCTCACTAGTCTAAAGCTTTAGACAGGAGAGTCGAGTTTTGAGTCAGAAGTAGGGATTGAAGCCTGGGAAGGTGTGTTCTTCTTTCCACCGAGGAACAGCCACGCTGGGATAATGCAAGCGGCGCATAGACCAGTGATAACTAAGCTGACGATTTGCCATCCATGTTGGATGCCCATGCGTCCCAAAAGTCTGGTGAATAACATCAAGAAATACTCTTAGCTTGTGTACTTGAAAATGTTAGATATACACTTTTGGGCCGTTAACTTACCCTCCAACGACCAATGGTCCAACCATGGCACCGGTTGAATATACCATGTTGAAAATACCGTAGACGTGAGCGAAGCCTGTGTAAATCAAATAAGTCAGCAAATTTGCACAGAGGTTCCTTATCAATAAATGATGGAAAGACTAACCTAATCCAGGCGTGGCCTTCACGACTTCTGCTAGATCTATGGAATCACGCAATCAAAGTTGAGTAATTATAAATTAAGTTTCTGGGGAAGGTAAGAGAGAATCTCACCTTGCATGATTGGTGCAGCAATCCCCATGATAAAGATACCTGGAAGTTTGAGGAAAATAGACAGATAAATCAACGATGGATCTTTGGGATATGACCATTGAGAATGACAAGAAAAGGCCTACCAGTGAATGCGATAAAGGTGATCAAAGCAGCGAGACTGGTGTTCATGCTAAGTAAACCAAAGAATGGAGTACCAAGGATGAGGCAGATGACGATGGGCCACTTTGCTCCGTATTTATCGGCATAGTGTCCAGCCATTGGACTGGAAATGAACGATGGTACGACGGCAGCAATAAAGATCAGGGCGGCGCCTCTTGAGCTCAATCCGTATCGCTCTTTGACAAGCATGGTCATTCCAGTGTCCAGTAGACCACCGAATGAGAATCCTGAACAAAGTGAGCAAGAGGGAGTTTCAAAACCATATCAATAATTTTGAGCTGGGATTTGGACTCAGTGAAAGTCAATTCGCACCCAGCACAAGAGTAATCGCGCAAAGAGTCCAGAATCGCGAGTTCGTCAACAAGGAGAGTAAGGCACGAGCTGCTGAAGGTGGCTTGGATCCATCTGAAGATTCGGCAGTCGATTTAACTTCTTTGTCACTGAGTTCAACATTGATTGCTGCGGCAGCTTGGTTGTTTTGGATACATTTCTTGTCTTGGACCAAGCTTCTGAGGAAGAAGTCGATGGCAGCTGGAGTGGAAAACCGGTGAAATAAGTTAATGACGTGGTTTTGATTGATAGAATGTGAATATGCTGGGTGTACCAGCTTGTAAGATGAACTTACTTATGATAAGTGCGAAGACGAAGATCGAGTTGTAGCCCAATGAATCGTATAATAAACCACCAGCTAACGGTCCACCTACAGTTCCTATCGACCAGCCAATCCTGAAAAGACATTATCTTATTATAATCAGAATTGAACCACCAACTTTGATGACAAGAAACCCCAGATATTTGGCAAGCTCTTACATGACATATCCCATGATAACACCAATTCGTGCTTCTGGTACCACATCACAAATCAGAGCCAGTCCAAGGGTCCAAATGGCAGTTCCACTATAAAACACAGCAATCGGATGATGAAAGCATTAATTTCTTTGCCAGTGACCACACACAAAGAAAGGATCAAAAAAGTACTCACCTGAAACCTTGAATAATTCTTGCAATCATGAGGACTGCAAATGATGATGAAAGCCAGAACATGATCAAACTGGCAGCTGTATTGGAGAAGAACAAAAGCAATCGATTCAGTTATTGTAGTTCATATTTAAGGGAAGGCCCAAATTATTCAGGACTTGAAGTTTAACAACCCACCTAGAAATGTCAAACATGCCAAAAGGGGGGCCTTTCTGGATCGGACAATTTCGCCGAAAATACCAACAGGGATCTAGAAAAAATGAGTTTGTTTGCTTGCCCAGTTAGTCTCTGTCACGGAATCAAATATTAATGTAGGAAGATTCTTACCGATGAGATTATCAGCCCAAATGCAAATGCGGCAATGACTGATTTTTAAGGAAGGAGATTATTAGCATTCACTCATCCCAATTGTTGCTGACGGAATATTGAACTTTTCGCGTAAAAATTTCACGTTTTTGCAGCAGAAGAAGTGTGGGTGCTTACGGTAGGATGAAGTGGCTGGGACGTTCTTGTAGCCGGTGGACTCCAATCGGAAGGGAAGGACAGGTACCATGATCCCATAAGTGGCCATGTCGACCATCAAGCCAAAGGAGACACTGAAAGTGATGTAAGGGATCTCGCTGGTGACCTTGTTAAAATAGTTATAACATCTTGAAATAATTGAAGGTGACATCTTGATATATCGGATATACAGAAAGAAAACCGTTTATAAAATCGAATCGTTAGAAATGTTAAAATAGAAAGAGTTTTTCGACGGTTATTTGGACAGGGTCGATACACAGAAAACAAAGAGAAGGGGGGGAAAAAAATAGACTGATGTTACGAAATCGTTAGAAAAGTAAAGCCGATTTGAAAGTATCTTAAACAGGACAGAACGAAACGGAAGAACTAGCCGAATGGATATAAGAGACTAGACCAGGGGCATCTACAACTGATGACTGGGCTCTTATTATAAGACATCAGTTCGACGCAGTCTTTGGGACCAAAACCAAGAGACACAGCAAGAAGGGAATCAATTCGACTACCTTAGTGTTTGGTTGACCGCCGGGGCGTAACCTTGGGAGAGGACCAAGAAGCGTAAGTGGAGAGTTGGCGACAAGTTCGGGAGGCCTGCTTGAGCAATCGGCTTGACTGCGACTTGGCTTGAGTTGGGCAACAGTCCTCACACCAACGGTTACTCATCTGTGGTACGCCCCGATCGAGCTCAACTCCTCCACGGCGGGGTGGAGGCCTAACAGTAACAGCCGACAAGAATTCTCCAACAAGGTTTTGGTTTTGTTGTTCTGTTGTGCTTAGCTTGGGGGTGGGGGTGGGGTGGGGTGGGGGGTCATCAAGATGTGAGTGGGTCGCCTCCAGAACTGAGAGGGGTGATGGTCAACAGACTACAAAAAAATCAGAAACTGCAGCCAAACCACCACCAGCAACTCAACCATCAGCAATGAGCCACAGACATCTTCCAGCCTCCACTAGCACGCTCAGGGTGGACATCAGAGAGGCAGAGATACTGGATGAGGATGAATCGACTGAGACGAGTGATATCTATCTGCCCAAACACACCGAATTCATCTCCCACATCGCACTCGATGTAAGTCTCTCCTTTTCTCTCCCAGTCAGTCAGTCAGTCAGTCTTCCTTCTCTTGTAAAATTCAGAAACCAAATGCTGACTTGCTTGTGTGTGTGTAGATCGGTGGTTCACTAGCCAAGGTCGTCTACTTCACCCGTGCCGCCGATCATAACTCATCAAGGGAAAACCTTTCCAAGCGATCCGGCGGAAGCTTGAACCAGAGTTTACCCCGGAAACCGGTCTCGACTGAGGAACTTAGCACTCGTGAACGGCCTTCCAGAGCTGCCGTCGATCAATCCTGTCCGTCTTCTTCCTCATCCCATTCTACCTCCTCAAGTGATCCCGAGCCACCCAACCTGCCCAACTCCAGGCCGCACTCCTCCGCCCGCTCCTCAGTCAGTCAGCCAAACGGTATCCTCAATCCGACCGTCGTCCGGGAAGAAGTCTATAACAGTCGGGCCAGATCTCTCGACCCTGGAAACCATTGCAACACATCCAACGATCCCATAGATCAAGATCCTCTCCAGCGTTCCTCTCAGCTCAACCAAAAGCTTGCTTCCCTCAGTACTCTCAACCTTCAAGACCCATTCCGGGACCCCAAGCACCGTCTCTCGAGATCATCCTCTATCTCATCGATCCCAGGCGGAAGGCTGAATTTCATCAAGTTCGAGACAGGATCCATCGAATCAGAATGTATCACGTTTATCTCCAACCTGATCCAGCTCTCGGCGGAGTCCAACCGGGTGCCGATCTCGACGATGAAACGAGGAGTCAAGATCATCCTGACCGGCGGTGGGGCATACATGTATGCGGATCTCATCAAGAACGCTCTAGGCGGGGATGTGGAGGTGCTGAGTGAGGACGAGATGGACTGTCTGATCACCGGGCTTAACTTTATCACCGAGATCCCAAACGAGGTATTCTGGTTCTCCGACCAACTCGTCCAGGAGATCATCCACAATAACTCATCCGACCCGGCCAGCGAACAGGAGAACCTGCTCACCAACCCCCACAAGACCCTCGGCCCCATCCAACCTTCCTCCTCTTCCTCCTCCTCCCACCCGACATTCGATCAAGACCGATCGCCGGGCATCGAACAGTTCCCGCGTCCCTCGCCAAACCCACCCCAATACTCCGTTCTCTTCGACTCGAACCCCAGCCCTCAGTTCCCATGCATGCTGGTCAACATTGGCTCAGGGGTATCAATCATCAAGGTGACCAACTTTGGCAAGTTTGAACGAATCTCAGGGACATCCTTAGGAGGAGGGACACTCTGGGGATTGCTCTCGTTACTCACTGAAGCCAAGAGCTTCGACGAAATGCTGGACCTTTCGATCAAGGGAGATAATTCGAAAGTCGATATGCTCGTCGGCGATATCTATGGTCAGGATTACGGTAAAATCGGCCTCAAGAGCTCCACTATCGCCTCTAGCTTCGGCAAGGTCTTCAAGAAAAAATCTTCCCCGTCTACTCAGTCTCGTAATCTTTCTGGCGTCGAAGATCCACCTAAGGTCGAATTTAAACCAGAAGACATCAGTAAGAGTTTACTCTATGCTATCAGCAATAACATTGGCCAAATTGCGTCAGTCTTCTTCCCCTCCTCTATCTCTTCATCTCCCATTTTAATGCTCAAAATATTGATAACTTGTGTTTGTGTGTGTGTTTTGCAGACACTTGAATGCTGAGCAACATGGACTAGATCGGATCTATTTCGGAGGCTGTTTTATCCGAGGTGAGAAAAAGAACACCCTCATGAAATAGCCTGAAAAACAAAAACCTAGAGAGTTAAAGCAGAATGTGTTGCAATGATCCAGGTCATGCAGCAACGGTGTCGACCTTATCATACGCTATTCGGTTCTGGTCCAAAGGTACCAAACGTGCCTTCTTCCTTAGACATGAAGGTTATCTTGGTAGTATTGGAGCTTGGTTGAAGAATATCGGCCATGAAATCGATCAAGCTTCCTCTCCTCCTCCTCCTCCACCAAATCATTCTTGATTTCTTGTTTTACTACTTTGTTACATTTATATATATTAGCATTTAGGCTTTTTTCTATATTCTCTCTCTTTTTATCATTAACTTTCTAGTTTGACTTGTGTATTTATTTATTTTTCTACTGCTAAGAAAAGCACCATCAGTGTTAAAGGTATTTTTTCTTTCTTTCTCTTTTTCTTACTATCTACATATAAATGTATATACATGTATATACAAAACTAACATACAACTAGATTGATTATTTTCATTCTTTGTTCTTGTATTACATAACCCCCCCGCCCTTTTTTTGATGTGTTGAAGCAGAAGAGAAAAAAAAACTTATTTTGGTTTGTTGAGAGTTTTCTTGTTCCCACATGTTGCTACTTATCTTAATCCTGCAAACTTGAATCAAAATCATTTTTTTTTCTTTGTTTCTTTTTACGTCAATTTGAAGAGTAGATCTATTTTGTTGACCATCAAATGAACATTTCTTTCCTCTTTTCTATTCTACTCTATTTCTTTGCTTGGCTTTATTTGCAAAAGCAAACCCCAAATTGAACAGAAAAAAGGCAATAGAGTACTTCCTGTTGGATCTGGGACCCTCACAGTTTGCAATTTAGACCCGAAAAGTCTAGATTTTTGCAGGGAAATCTAGCTTTTAAGGCTCTAAAGCAAAACTGGGAGACCCAAAGATGTCAACAGGAAGTCATACAATTATAATATTTAGAGGGAAAGAAACCAAATGGAATATGTAGTGGAAGACTTGTGACCAAATTTATTGCCCTCACAGATGACAATCCAGGCCTGAAAAGTCCAACTTTTTGTGGGTAAGTCTACATAATGAAAAAATCCAGGAAAGACTAAATTGATCAACCTGGGTCACCAATTCTGATCAAGAAGTCCTCCGGCTAATGTTTAACAAAGCTGTTCAGGAACTTTCAGGCTAAGGATTTGTATTGTAATTAGCAAGAAAAAAACATAACAAAGAAACCCTCTTGGTCTCTGGTAGTACCTTGCTCCATGACTATCAGGTGTGTGAGGATCATCAATTACATTTTCTTTTTCCTTTTTTGCCACAGACATATCACAGTCTGAATTTGAAACATCAGCTGTGGGTCACCTAGCTGCGCTCTCTGGCATATCTGAGTGATGTAGTGACCCACCACCACATGAGGATTGTGCTCTACTGCTACTTAAATTTTACCTTGTATTTTGCAATGTGTAGTGTAATTTTGGGCTTTTTTGCCCAGAGATCGAGTACAGTAGTGTAAATAATGCAATGTCTGCATTATCCAGAGGCACAAAGGCCCGAAAGATGACAAAGACCTTCAAATTTGGTGAATTGTCCACTTCCAGATTTGTGGATTGTGTAGTGAACCCCCCAAAAAAATCATCAACTGGTGAAAATGATGTAGTGTAACAAACACTACCGGTAAAGGAACAGTAGAAGTGACCCAAGAATCACTACATTACCTCTAGGCTACCACTGCGAGTAGTGTAGTGAACCCGTGTTTCAAACATCATTCACCATTGGCATGGGCAAATTGTAGTCAGCAATCTGGTGGATAGTTAATTTGAGCATTCCAACAGCTCAATTTCTATCATCATGGTTGCTGGTTTCTTTCCCAATCCACTCCAAAATCACAGCTCTAGATTGATGTGATGTTAACGGGTTGAGTTTTTATCTGGTTTAAAATGGGGTAAGTGAATTTTACAAACTATTTTTTACAAGACATATGTCTTGTAAACCGGATAGTTTGTAAAATTACATTTTTATGGGGGTAATGTATAATTTTACAAACCATCACCCAAAAATATGGGTTGCAAAAAAAAGGGTTGCAAAATATGTGCCTTAAAATTGCAACCCATGCCCCATGGAGTAGAATTTTAAGGCACATATGTTGCAACCCTTATGTCTTGAAAACAATATGATTTGCAAAAGTAAATTTTTGCCTTATTTCAAGGAATTTTGCAACCCATCTATGAGTTGTAAATTATGTTTTGCAAAACTGCACAACATGGTATGTAAAATTGAATTTTACAAACCATATTTTGCAACCCTTTCAAGGAAATTTGCAACCATTAGTTTGCAGCCCATCTATGAGTTGTAAATTATGTTTTGCAAAATTGCACAACATGGTATATAAAATCGAATTTTACAAACATATATTTTGCAACCCTCCAAAAAAAAAAAAAAAAAAAAAAAAAAAGGAAAAAAAACAGGGAGACACTATGGAGTATGGAGGTACTGAACTGCCACTTTGGCCAAAAAAAAAATGTAAAAATGATGGGATTGTGTCTATCATTGATGACCAGTTTTGACCAGTCATTTATGTGGGTGTTTACTCCCATCAATGACCAGTCAAAACCAGTCATCAATTGGAGTGTTTACTCCCATCAAAAAATGAAAAAAATTCATCGGCCAATTTGGCCATACATTCCTCCCATTGATGACCATTTATGACACTGGTTGTCAATTGGAGGACACACTCCCATCAAGGACCAGTTATGACCGGTCCTTGATGGGAGTAAACACCCCCAACATCCCAGCCATCAATGACTGGTTTTGACCAGTCATTAATGGAAGTAAACACCCCCAAGCACCCCCATCAATGACCGGGTTTGACCGGTCATTGATGGGATTAAACACCCCCAGCAATGACTGAATTTGTTTTTGTTTTTTTGTTTTTTTTTTTCTTTTTTTTTGGCCAAAGTGGTAGTTCAGTACCTCCATATTCCATAGTGTCTCCCTTTTTTTTTTTTTTCTTTTCTTTTTTTTTTTTTTTGGAGGGTTGCAAAATATGGTTTGTAAAATTCAATTTTATATACCATGTTGTGCAATTTTGCAAAGGGGCTTGGAAAAACGACTCCCAAATTTTAGGCGACGACTCCCGTTTCGGTCGAGGGGTCGTCGGACGGGAGTCGTTCTTCCAATTCCCGGGAGTCGTCGGCCTAATTCCACAGGCAATTTTTTATTTTTTTTAATTGAAAATTCGGAAGTCATCCGCCTAAAAGGCGGGAGTCGGCGCCCCAAATTTGATTCTTTTTTTTTTTTCCTTGGGAGTCGTCAGGCTAATTTCCCCAGACGGAAAGGGAGTCGATGGCCCAATTGTCCAAACTGACAACTGGGCTTTTTTTGTCTCGCAGGAGTCGGCGACAAATGCCTAGGAGTCGGCGGGGAGAAGAAACCTTGTTTCTTCTGAGGGTGCCATATGGCGACGACTCCCATTTCTAGTTGGACGACTCCCTTCATTTTTATTATAGAAAAAAAAAGGCAAAACATTTGGCGGAATTGGTGCGACGACTCCCTCGTATTAGGTGGACAACTCCCGTCAATTTAAATATAAAAAAGGGCGAAATATTAGGCGGAATTGGTGCGACGACTCCCAGCTTTTAGGTGGACGACTCCCGTTAATTTAAATATAAAAAAGGGCGAAATATTAGGCAGAATTGGTGCAACGACTCCCTCATATTAGGTGGACAACTCCCGTCAATTTAAATATAAAAAAGGGCAAAACATTAGGCGGAATTGGTGCGCCGACTCCGGCACTTTTTTCGGACGACTCCCTATTTTTTTAATAAAAAAATAAAAATTCTCCAGGTAAAATTAGTGCGACGACTCCCTATGTTTTTTCGGGAATTGGAAGAACGACTCCCGTCTGACAACCCCTCGACCGAAATGGGAGTCGTTGCCTAAAATTTGGGAGTCGTTTTTCCAAGCCCCTTTTGCAAAACATAATTTACAACTCATAGATGGGTTGCAAACTAATGGTTGCAAAATTGCTTGAAAGGGTTGCAAAATATGGTTTGTAAAATTCAATCTTACATACCATGTTGTGCAATTTTGCAAAACATAATTTACAACTCATAGATGGGTTGCAAACTAATGGTTGCAAAATTCCTTGAAATAAGGCAAAAATGTACTTTTGCAAATCATATTGTTTGCAAGACATAAGGGTTGCAACATATGTGCCTTAAAATTCTACTCCATGGGGCATGGGTTGCAATTTTAAGGCACATATTTTGCAACCCATATTTTTGGGTGATGGTTTGTAAAATTATACATTACCCCCATAAAAATGTAATTTTACAAACTATCCGGTTTACAAGACATATGTCTTGTAAAAAATAGTTTGTAAAATTACAGCGACCCGTTTAAAATTGATATAATGCTATTGTATTTTGAGATAATGATATGGATAGCCATGGATACGACTTTGCGTATTACCAATCAACCGGGTGTGCAATCATTTCCTTCTCTTCTATCAACTCTAACAAGTTTCTCCGCAAAAACATTAAGGATTGAGGTTATGGGCCGAGTTTTGTAGCTAAATGTTTGTAATGATAAGATGAATTGATTGTATTGTCATGAGTTGAGACGGGCGTGTATAAGATTGGAAGCAACTTCCCATACGAGGTTACGATCAGCCCAACCAGCGGAGAAGTATTCTATTAACTTGTCCTGGATGTACCCAAGTTTCCACTCCGAAGAATCTTCTTGATCTGGGTATGGTGGTTTGATATGCCCAAAAATGGGCTTGAGGCTTTGACCTGGTGAGAATATTTGATTATCAAGCCAATCCAACATTCCCTCTTCCTTGAGCAGCGGGGACGGGGCTCGCAATTTTCTGAGACAGTAGTGAATTGATACAACCAGAGACTTGTAAAGCGAATGACAAACATCAGTGGGTTGTGCCGCATTCCCCCCATGGGGTACTAGTACTCTTACCGCCCTAGCTTGAGATCCCTGATCAGATGAAAAATGCGCAAAGGGTAAGTCTGGATGTGAAACCATTCCAGTTGTACGATACTTGAGCGATCTTAGTTTTTTGTGGAACGCTGTGCAGCGTTGTCTGAGAGCTGGAAGTAAACGGCGATTACGTTGCGACAGATATCCGCGTACGAATTCGCGCAAAGATTCTGGAAAGAGGTCGGAACTTGTAGGAAAACCTGTCGTAATGCGAGCTGCTGCTGAGGTCGGCAATGAGTCCCTCCTTTAATGCTCATGAGCAGCCGAACCTTTGCCAACGTGGGGACTTACATCGTTGTGGATCAATCTCAAAGATTCTCGGGATCGTGGTCATTGAATGATTGGGAGCTGTTGTTGATTGGATCCTGGTACAATGATGGTCGGGCTTGAGCTGGTGATCATCATCGGTGAAACCTTGGGTTGACGAGGAAGAATCAAAGTGTCAGCTTTCGCTGGCTTGGATCAATTTCTGGAGAGACAAATGAAATACTCCCTTACTCAGACTAGGATCTAAGTAACCGGAGTGAGCTAGTGTTGGGTCAATGTGCTTTCGAGGTCCCCTAGAAAAATCAATCTCTTGTCCATCATACGTTTCGCGCTTCTTTGTGGCTGCTCGTATTTGGATTGCGCTCGGAATCGGGAAGCTTGATGGGCCAGTGGCGATGGGTTCAATGTGGTGAGCTGCGATTGTCGTATCAAGATGCAATTGGCCTTCTGAACATTCCTCCTCCGGACGTTTGTTCAAGTCGATCAAAATGCCTGCTGAAACTGCTGCAGCGGACCATAACTGCCATAGAACAGACCAGCAGAGAATGGAAGCGAGAAGACCCATTTGCAGCGTGACACCGGCGCGGAAGAATCAATTTTGCAACCTGGCATCACAAGCGGTTCGCATCTTGGGTCGTGACTCAATGGACGATGGGAGTCTCCGGAAGGATGTAATAAAAATTCGCCAAACCTGCATCAAGGTCAGTAATGTTCTTGGATATTCTTATCATGCTACGGAGGTCAAACTGGTGATGCGTTCTGACTGCGAGGGACACGTACTCTCAGTTGCAATTCTGGATTGTCTGTCCTCCGGCAAGTGAGCTTGAGGAATACATAGGGGCTGCCAAACCTATGTATGGCAGCGAATTAAAACAGATCAAAACCTCCTGGACCCGAAGCGCCCTCGGCATCCCCCAGGAGGGGACTGGTGGCGATACGGCGCCAGCAGTTTTCGGGTTAGGGCCCGCTCCATTGATATTCCGATCAATGCGTTTCGTTTCTATGCGGCACTGAGCGGCGGCACTTGCGGTGGTAACACCCCCAGCGCGAATCCGTTGGCATCTCCATCGATTTTTTTTGTCTTCGTATCTTCTGAACCCATGGTGATACATTGTCTTGACTTGAGTGCTGCACGTCGAACCACGGGCTCGATAAAACTCCACCCAACACACCCTCGATTGCTTTGCTACGAAGTCCCTGCAGTAACATCGCACATGCTTCTTGAGTCGTTCAGAAAGAGCAATTGAACTTGAAGATTTCGATTTGATAAGCCTCGATCTCTCAGGTATCCCCAGGTTGTAATATTTACCATATATAGATCATCGACCAAAACAAATCCGACTGCACAAACTACTAAAACAGCCTCTTTTAACCATTCGCATTCCGCCCACAGACTCGGTGGACATTCCTTACAAGCTTTTACCTGTGAATAACAATATAAAAACCCACATTTATTTCAATTCTTTTTGCCCGACGTCATGTTGGTGAAAATCTGTTGGATCGTGTGTTTCCTCCTTGCGTCTGTGGCAGCTCTCCATCCTAAGGTTGTCAGTGCCTCTGACCAAAACGATTGCTTGGTTAGTAATTTATTTGTTACTTCTTTTGGTTTTTGCCTGGCACGATGGGGATAGAATTATTGGATAGGCACCTGACCGCTCTGATTTAATCCACGCGTATTTCAAACAGCAAAGTACTGCAAAAACAACTGAACCTGGAGCTCGAAAACAACACTTCAACAAGGGGATATCCAATGGTTCCGGCTTTCTCTTTGCCTCGCAGAAGTATAATTTCAAAAACCGTGGATCCAAATCAGCCGGAATGCGAAATAGAATCATGAAGGACCTTGCTGCTTTCAAAATGAAATTCTCTGACCAGGATGAAGTTTCAGTCCGGTGGACAATCGACGTGAACACTCCAGACGTTCCTACTGCTTCAGCTACGAGAAAGATCAAGGTGCAGCTGCCCCTAAAGTAAGTACACTTGACATGGTTTCCTAAAGGGAAGGAGAAAAATGCTTACTTTCTTGTGTGTTCCTCAGGATTATTTTTGTGAAAAACAACAAGCTCGCTTTATGAAGCTTTGAGATGAAGAACCAAAGTCCAAGCTTGATGCTAAGTTTAACTCAAGTCCATCGGAATGGCAAAAATTCAGGATGGCCTCCAATCCTTGGCAAATTGTATAGAATGTATCGCTTCAAGTTGAGCCTCTCGGAAAATAATCCAGGCTTCAGAATTGTAAGAATCTCTCACCTAAGTTCGGCACGCCACCACCGTTTCTTTTTTACCATTCATTTCCAATAACAGATTATTTTTGGTGTAATTACAGTACTATCCTATGAATGATCCAGTTCTTTATATGTTTTTGTTTTACTTTCGTTGCTCCTTTTCCAATGACAAATTTCTGTGTTTAGAATTGATGAACAATTTTCTGTGCGGCTTTTCATGTCACTGAACAGCCTGGTCAGTGGTAAATAGGGGGGCTCACGATAGCTTTTTTGGCTTCTGGCCCCCCTTATAAGTAAAATTCTTGCTGGTCACTTTTTTGGCCCAGGTTTTTTGTGCGCATGATCAGGGAGGTGGATATTGTCGCGCTGAATACCTGCATCAGCTGCCTTTGTCGACCTGCGGAGAGCCAGTTGATAGAGTCAGATTATACGCCTCAGAAAGTCGGGCGGATGGGGATTGATCCGGTCCACACCGACTTAGATTCCCAGATTGTACTTGTAGCATGCTCGTGGTTGGATCGATCGACGCAGTTCATCGACCGAGTTCTTGGTCAGACTGGCGCCGTGTTGACCTCAGCTGATCATCCCGATTGGAAGGGATGAAGTGGTGAAGAGTGAGTGGGCCACAGTGCTGACTAAGCATTGAGTACCCCCCCCTGGGATCTCTTGGAGTACAAATAGCCCACCCAAGGCCTCACTGAGAGGACCGACCGATCACCAGCATCCACAAAATTCAAAAAATCCTCTGACACGAATCCGACTCATCATGGCTTCCTTGGCACGCTCACTGGCCAGAAATTCTTCTCCATCGGCTCTTTTTGGTCGGCAGCACGTCCTCAGGTCCATTACCACCTGGTCAAATGTTCCCGCCGGTCCACCCGATCCCATTCTTGGTATGTTTCTCGTCTTCAGTTTCTGTATGTACTCCAAAGAAAATGGTTGATCGAATGATTTATCGATCACAGGCGTCACTGAGGCTTTCAAAGCATGTACCAGTCCCCTCAAAATGAACCTCGGCGTGGGCGCTTACAGGGACCAAGATGGTAAACCATTCGTCTTACCATCTGTTCGACAAGTTGAGTAATCCTCGGTCCGATCCTCATCCTTGAGCACCATCTGCGTGATTGATCCAGAAAGGGCTTGTCAAACTCATATATCTTAAATCATAATCTCATTCATAGGCTGAAGCGGCCATTGTTGCGGCCAAGTACGACAAGGAATATCTAGGAATCACCGGTTTTCCAGAGTTTACCAAGCGTGCAGCAATTTTGGCTTACGGTTCTGACAGTGCACCCCTGAAGGAGGGCCGAGTGGGTCGAATATCATTTTTTAATAACAAGACTTTGATGTGTACTAATATCCATTATTTCAGATCGCAATCACCCAATCCATCTCTGGCACTGGTGCTCTCAGGATTGGCGGTGCTTTCCTCCAACGATTTTACCCCCACTCCAAGTCGATCTACCTCCCCACACCGACATGGGGAAACCACATCCCGATCTTCAAAGACTCCGGCCTGGAAGTTAAACAATACCGATACTACGACAAGAAGACCGTTGGGCTTGATGCGAGTGGTATGCTCGAGGACATCAAGGTGCGTGATCAGACTATTCTGTGTCTCTCGAATTTTCTTAATCTGCGAAAGTGTTTTGAGTTGTTGTGGAATTTTTTTCAATTCTTCAGAACGCGCCTGATCGCTCGATCATCTTACTGCATGCATGTGCTCACAATCCAACTGGAGTGGATGCTACCCAGGAACAATGGAAACAAATCGCACAAGTTATCAAAGTAAGCGCCCTCCATGGGTATTTCTTTGCAAGCACCCAAACACGTAGACTGAATTGTATTCTGTGGAATGATATTTAACAGGAGAAGGGCCATTTCAGTTTCTTTGACATGGCATACCAAGGCTTTGCCTCGGGGGATGTTGATCGGGACGCCTTTGCGCCGCGATACTTTGTCTCACAAGGCTTAGACATCGTACTTTCTCAATCATTTGCCAAGAACATGGGTCTCTATGGCGAACGAGTCGGGGCATTCTCGGTCGTCTGCTCGAGCCCAGAGGAGAAGAGCAAGGTCGAAAGTCAGGTCAAGATCTTGGTTCGACCCATGTACTCCAATCCTCCCGTCCATGGTGCCAGAATTGCGGGTACTATCTTAAGCGATCCTGCCCTTTACAAACAATGGTAAGCCTTGTTTCTGCTGCTGATCGTCGCCTTTTCCCAAACATGTGTAGCGAGTTGTTCCGATTTTTATTTGTTTGTTTGTGTATTCCTTAGGCTCGGAGAGGTCAAATTGATGGCCGATCGAATCATCGGAATGCGTACTGCACTATACGACACCCTTGTTAATGAACTCGGAAGCCAACGGAATTGGGACCACATTAAATCCCAAATAGGGTTCGTTATCACATCCTTTATTGTTCCGTTCGTCTAAAGAATGGTGCCTTACGAATTTCGGACTTGACTTGGTTTGAAAATGCAGCATGTTTTGTTTCGCTGGTATCTCGCCAGAACAAGTGGAACAAATGACCAAGAACCACCATGTTTACATGACTAAAGATGGCCGTATCTCCATGGCTGGTGAGTGATCTGCATTGAATAGACTCGACCTCCTCGTGGTACTTTGAACCTGACCCCTTCATTCGCGTTGTACCTTCCCAGGTGTTACTCCTCACAACGTCAAGAACTTGGCCAAAGCCTTACACGATGTCACCAAATGATTGGGAAAAGGCAATTACTGTTTTTCTTAAACAAGCAAACGATCAAATGATCAAAATCATCCGAAAGCCGTCCCCTTTCGCTGTATCTTGGAATCACGCAATGCAATGATTTATAACCACATTCAGTCTTGTTAGTCCTGTTCCCTTTGGGGCCCTGTGTTTCGAATGTAGACCTGAATGCAGGAAGGTCACTTTGAGCCACAAGTCAATCTCAATGAGAGTGAAATGTGACCACCAGCATTTAAAAAAAATGGAATTTGATTGACTGATCTGGTTGTAGCTCAGGAACCACAGCTTCATGCAACTATGCATATCAAATCCACAGCTTCATGTATTGTGGGATTTGACAGTTGCCCTTCGCAATAGGGGCCGGGAAGGCCGAGACGGCGCGAAGATCAAAGTGCCCCGTTTCAACGCCGACCCCTGCGGGAGAAAGTGGTATGGACCGGTGCCAAGCAATGTGTAGTTCAGTGACTGAGTTAATTGTCGAGGGTCGAGACTGAAGAGATTCAAGGCAAAACGTACTCTCGCCCTCCCTCGCCCGATCAACTCGTCCCGATCTAGTAGAATGTGCTGTGGAAGTGTGTGTGTAGAGCTGAAGCCGGTCTGCTGAGGTACAGTTCCCAACATGCCTCCCCCCCCCTGGGCTTTCGTAGAGTATGTAATGGGTGTTCCGACTCCTGTCTCATGGACCATCATCAACACACATTAGTCCAACTGAAAGAAAAAAAAAACCTCGAAATCTGTTCGCAATAAGAAAGCTGTCTCTCCATCATGGCTTGCGTGGAAAACTCGTCGATCAAAAACGCCGCTGGGCCCACGTGGTCTGATGTTCCCGTTGGTCCCCTCGACCCCATCCTTGGTATGTTGCATCTTGATTTTACTTCAAGCACATTCTCAGGACCCCAGATAGTCCCAGTAGAGGGATGCATTGAGAAGGGGATAGAAATTGGTCCAAATTTCCACAGACGTACTCTTTGGGATACGCCTAAAGTTTAGTCTTTGTTTCAAGCCTCTTTATGGCTCAAAGCCCATGACTTCACGGGTGCTACCAAGAATTCTTTCCTTGATCATACTCAGTCAAGTAAAGAGGTGTTGTTGAGCTATTAGTTGGCCACTGTCCGATTTTTGTACCCATCTCCAATGGGGCTTAGCATGATCTTACATAGTAGAAATGGCTAACTGGATGATTTATTCATTGCAGCTGTCGCCGAGGCTTTCAAAGCCAGTACCAGCCCATTGAAAATGAATCTTGGGGTGGGTGCGTACAGGGACGAAGATGGCAAGCCGTTTGTGTTACCTTCCGTTCGACAAGTTGAGTACTCTGCAGCCCCATTCCCAGCCTTTGAAGTGTGTGATCCAAAAAAAAAAAAATCTTTGGAGCTGATGGTGCATCCTTCGCGTCATTCCTAGGCTGAAGCGGCCATTGTTGCGGCCAAATATGATAAGGAGTATATTGGAACTACCGGCTTGCCAGAATTCACAAAGCGTGCGGCTCTTTTGGCCTACGGCTCTGACAGTGCACCCCTGAAGGAGGAACGGGTACGAATCAAACTCAGATTTTCACCATCCGACGCGTTGTTGTCGGAACTTTTTGATCACACTTTGTCGGGATTATTGGACTTCTACACTAGATTGCAATCACCCAGTCTCTCTCCGGGACTGGTGCGCTGAGGATCGGTTGTACTTTCCTCCAACGGTTTTACCCTCACTCCACGTCCGTCTACGTACCCACACCGACATGGGGAAACCACATTCCAATGTTCAAAGAGGCTAGCTTTGAAATCAAACGATACCGCTACTTCGACAAGAAAACTGTCGGACTTGATGCGACTGGTATGCTCGAAGACCTCAAAGTGCGTGAGTCAATGGGTTTGAAAATTCTCGAGTTTGTAACTAAATCGATCTGTAACACTTTTTTTTACAGCAAGCGCCTGATCGGTCGATCATCTTGTTGCACGCCTGCGCTCACAATCCAACCGGAGTGGACCCAACCCATGAACAATGGAAAGAAATTGCACAGGTGATTAAAGTGAGCAGGTTTTCCAAGAAAGTGTTTGCTCTTATTTTGGTTTGAAGCCCCAAGGATCAAGATGCAGAGTGACAGAACGAGGTGGTGGTCTTCTTTCCCTGTTGGAATTGCTTGAAATGACACTCAACAGGGGAAGGGGCATTTCAGTTTCTTTGACATGGCCTACCAAGGTTTTGCGTCGGGGGATGTGGAGCGGGATGCCTTTGCGCCGCGTTACTTTGTCTCCCAAGGCTTGGAGATCGTGCTCTCGCAATCATTCTCCAAGATAATGGGTCTCTACGGCGAACGAGTAGGAGCATTCTCGGTAATATGCTCAAGCCAGCAGGAGAAAAGTAAGGTTGAGAGTCAGTTCGAGCTCTTGATTAGACTCATGTACCTTAATCCCCCCGTCCATGGCGCCAGAATTGCGTCTATGATCTTGAGTGATCCTGCACTTTATAAACAATGGTAAGCGGGTCTCTGATCTTTCTACTGACGATCCTCTTATTTTCGAATTGAATTGTGGTAACTCTTTCCTTCAACCATTTCTTTGATTGCCCAGGCTGGGTGAAGTAAAATTGATGGCCGACCGGATCATCGGAATGCGTACTGCACTATTCGACACGCTTGTTGATGAACTCGGAAGCCGACGGAATTGGGACCACATCAAATCGCAAGCAGGGTTTGTTCCCACTTTCTTGAATTCCCAGTTTCATCACAAAACAACAACAGATTGATGTTCTTTTTATGAGATAGGATGTTTTGTTTCATCGGTATTTCCTCTGAGCAAGTGGAGCAAATGGCCACGAAGCACGATGTTTACATGACTCGAGATGGGCGGATGTCGATGGCTGGTGGGTGATTTTTTGTAGACCTGAGCACTCCGTGTTGGACTGTGGACACTGATGTCTTCAAACTTGATGTGCTTGATCATAATCTCCCAGGGATCACTCATCATAACGTTAAGCACTTGGCAAAAGCTTTGCATGATGTCACCAAATGACTAGATACCCCCTTCACATACCGTATCCCTTGAAAGCAGCCATGACTTATCAAGATGTCCAGAAATTTATCTTCTTTTGCTTTATAGTAGAATCACGCAAATACAGTAGTTCTCTAGTTAGACCTGGTCAACATGGATCAAAATTACCACTGGAATAGATTTGAATACCTCTTTTTGAAGTTTGGTTTGTGTTTTATGTGAAAACCGCTTGATCTAAAAATTACTTGCTTATAAGAGAGAAATGTCACCACTACTCTAGGAGTCTAGCTTGACCAATCAAAAACAGTTCTGTTGTAATCATTAGGATAGAGTTTCCAGGATTTACTTTCCTAAATACATCCATATTGCAGTTAAGTCCACAAGTAACTACATGTTTTACATCCAAATCCCTTTCATCCTCTCTAGATGGCATTCTGAGGCTTTCAAAACTTATGCAAACTGATTTTCAATTCTTCTCTCAATAATATATGTAGGCTCACTGAAAGTCTACCCCTGGCCCTGGTGCCAACCTTCTTCCTCAATCTGATCAACCTTCACCCACTGATCCTGGCATTTATCCTGAGCTTATACATACCCTGACCATCACGACCTTTTTGTTTTTATTTGTAGTGTGGTGGAGAAAATTCTTGTTTAGAAAAATGCCATCTTATTCTTAAGAAGAATACCAATTACTATTACTAACAAACTTAACTTGGCATTTCTCAACCAGTATGAAAATATCTTCAACTTCTATTTCGTAGTTCATCCATTTAATCCTTGATGGAATTTGGAATTTAATATATACAAATTAGGCTTCCCCCTTGGGCTGCCTCTAACATAAGTGTTCATTTCAATGTTTGCAGGTGTGTCCAAATGGTGTATTTATTTTGATGTTCATTCCAGTCCCTATTCAAGCACTCATGATTTTGCTTTTTCTTCGGAAATTCTTTCTGTTCACTCTCAACGGAACCTTTGCTTTTTTCAGGTTTGAATTTTACATGAAATATTGTTATTCTCAGCAACAATAAGTAAAGAAGTGTGCATTAAAGTCGTGCAGTACATTGACCTAGGATTGTTGATAAGTTCAACAAGGTTTGATTGGTTATTTTAATCAGGAGTTGCTCTACCAAAAAGGGATAATCCTTTCCTGCAAGGTGGTTAGTATGGAGACTGGTTTTGATAGAACTGCCCTCCAAATGAGTGTGCAGTAGGTTTTGAGTGAGTGGGTTTCTTGGTTTCAAGTTCCCCAGATTCTGAGAAGTCGGAAGTTCTCTCAGCAATTCTTGATCCCTACCACGATCGACAGCCACGCTCCATCAGCAGTTCACCGATACCCTCCCTCCACCACCCCAGGGCAATGTTGCCAATCAACCAGAATGCATTCAACCTGTTCCGATCATCCTCCAGAACCACCCGGCCAAGGACCTGCTGCAAACTACTCATTTTCTCCCGGGGTGCGAAGATGTGGGTCCCGGTACCTCAAAAGGCCAAGACCGAGCCGGACAACCTGGCTCCACTACTAGACAGTCTACGGTTGGTTAAAGTTAAGTCGATTTTATATCTATCGAAAGGCCTGGGTAATCGAATAAGGGTTAGATGAAAGCGAGGTGAGGCTTACGATGGCTGGTTTGGATTGTTTGTAGTAGGCTGTGAAGATCGATCAACCCGACCTACCTATCGAACTAACGATCGAACCTTTGATGAAGAAAACGGTGAATGCCAACGTCTTGAAAGGTCGCTTTGTCCTGACGAACCCGGTACCCAGCCCAGCTTCTTCGTCTTCTGGTCAAAACAACGAGAGTGGGAAGGATGTGATCGCTGTCATTTTGGACGACCAATCTGCTGATGACGTTCGGTTGGCTAAGGAGCTAGGCGTGGACCATTTCGGTGGACAGGATTTACTAGATAGAGTCAGTCTGCTATTTCACCCTCTCCTCGGAGTCAGAAAAATTGATTTCTAGTCCTTTAAATATCAAAATAATACACTCGCTTAGATCCTTGCAGAAGAAGTTAAACCCACCAAACTCTTGGTCCATTCTAAAAGTCCAAAGATTCAGAACATCTTCACAAGTTCAGAAAGCAAGAAGACCCTGTTCAAGACTCTATCACAATTGAACCTGATCATACCATCAGAAAAGCGAGGAACGATGTCAGAGAACTTGAATGAATTGATCATGAATTCCAAAAACTCGATCGACTGGCTAGTCAAGAAAAAACCGACGACCGAGAAACCAATACAACCTTCAGATCCAACCTCTTCCTCTCCAGTTAAAGCTGCAAAAGTGAACAATAAAAACTCAAAGAATCAAATCGATTCGTTTATCTCCATCCCCGTCGGTTCGATCCAGATGAATCTCATCCATCTCGAACAGAACATTTCAGACTTCCTCTCCATGGTTTCGAACCTCACTCAATTCGGTACTGCCTCCACCACCACTGCCTCTAAAAGTTCGTCTAACTCCGATACTCTTCCTAAACTAAAATCCAATTTCAAGTCTGGTCGACCGATCAAAAAACGTAAGTAATCTCTTTTTCCCTTTTGTTTATCGGACATTTCAACAAATCTAGAAAATGCTGACTTGAACTCAAAACCAAAAACCCTTCTTTTCTCCGCCTTGGGACCTGTTTTATGAGACAGCTGGTATCTATAAAGCCACACTGACCGTCAAAGGCATCCCGCCGATCACTGTCATCTGAACGCAATCCTTCATTTCTATCTCTATCTCTCTCTATTTTTTTTTCTGTCTTTATTTGGTACTCAAGAAGGGAAAAACAGCTCTCAATTTGAAATTGTCAAAAAAAAGAGTTTTGGTGTCCTAGAACTATCTACTTGATTGTTTAATTTTCTTGGAAAAGTGTTGCAAAAAAGGGGGGGTTCTCTATTCATCAGACAAATATACAGAGTGGCAAATGGTGTAGATCACTTTGGATATGTATATATCTCGAGATAGACAGATATGTGATTCTCCTGGTGGGAGCTGTAAATCAGAAGGTAGCATGAAAAATAAGGAAGTTGATGGGTCATCCCAAGATCAAATGACAAGGCTCTCACAAGCAAAGTTTCTCAGGGTTTTTATTGAAATCATGGCTAAGAAAAAGTTTCTTTCTGGGCCTAGACTAAATCAAGACCTCCTGCTGCAGATACTTGTATCTGCAACAATATACCATGCAGTATTCATTTTTTTTTTTTTAAAAAAAGAAGACTATATCTGCTTGCATAGAGACTAACAAATGAAAGTCCAGTCATCAGAACTGGCCACTTCATAGGAATCAAACAGAACTTCACAGACAGGAAAAAGGAACGATTTGGATGATTCCATGGAATTTTAAGTCAAGTTTTGTTTTTGTTTTTAAAAGGAGTCAGAAAAGATTGAAATCAACAAGAGTATTGGAGGAATTTATGTTTTTCTTTTTTTTAATAACAAAAAAAATAAACATTTTTGGCTGAATTAGGGTGACAACTCCCATATTTTTTAATAAAAAAAATTAAAAATCTTTGGTGAAATTAGGGCAACAACTCCCTTTTTTTTTCTTGGAAATTAGACAACCAACTCCGCTGACAACCCCTGGACCAAAACGGGAGTTGTTGACTAAAATTTAGGAGTTGTATTTCCAAGCCCCATTTAATAACCTCTAGATATTAAGAAATGGAAATCTCCAGTCATAGCTATTTTGATCTGGTCCTAAGAAAACACATTAGCCTTGAATCATGTGCACTTGAGCCCACTTGATCAAGTTGGAATAGCCTGTCTTGGACTCTGTCCTCTTTGGACCTGTTGACTTTCCCCCTTCATTGCGATTATCTCATCAGATTTCACTCAAGAAAGCACAAGTCTCATCAGAAATTATTTCTCTATCTTGAAATAACAAACTGGTTAAGTTTTTGTGTCCTGATTCCACAATCACAGTTGAAATCCAGTTTCAATTTATTGTAGAAGGCCCAAAACACTGTCATAACTTCACTCTTATTCTCTTTTCTGAGTATTCTGCAAACTTGTGAAGTGAGCATGATTTGTCTTGAAACTTTTGTTTTGAAAATCTATTGCTTTCTTGAGAAGAGTCAAACTAGGATCATTGGGATTGGTTGGATAGTATTTTTGAAGTAAAGTATCAATCATATCAATGGATAATAAAAGTAATGCAAAACCTTTTTTATCAGATAGGCTGATATTATACATGTCTTTAAAATTTTCCCCAGTCCACCCTTTCCATACCTCAAACCCTCTCTTAATGTGCTACCTTTCCCTGTGCCCCTCAACACAATCCTCCTTGAAAGTGGATGCAAATATTGTCAAAATTTGTCTTTGAAAAACATGTGTTGAGAAGCATAAGTTGGTAGCTGGTCACCTTCATGATATACTTTAATGAGGGAAATAATTTTATCTATTTACTTGGCTCAAAGATATTCACATCAAACTTCAGTATTTGGGTAGGCTTTGTCAATTGGTGATGAAGTGTCTGGCAAGAAGATCATAATTCCATGAGACACTACATGAGAACCGATTTTTTCCAAATTAGAAACTTTTCAAGCTTCTGCTGAAGCTGATTTCTATATATAGCTGGTCCTGTCATTAAACACACTTCTATGAGTGATGTGTATATACTTCAATAAGGGAATATATCTTCCCAGTTATGAAGCTCATGAAGTTAATTTGAAATTTCCACAGGCGTTTTTGAAGGATCATGTGTTGTGATGTGGCTGACCCTTTTTGACACCTTGCCTTAACCCACCTTTCATGCCCCTCTACGTTTTTGTGGCAGACAGCCTCATTTTATCATTTTGAATCAATTATCTTGCAGCTGAAATTATTACCAGGCCGCAAGTTGCACATAACCCAACCTGCAAAAATATTAGGGTATGAGATCCATTTTCAACTGAGTGGGGAGTGGGCACGAGAAATTTACATCCTTCTCCAACAATGGAACGATTTCCATGTGTTGTACTGACATTGCGCAATAATGCAGACACAAAAATAGAGCACGCTAAGAGCATTCGCATTGGTCGGGTTAAATCGCCGGGTTAAGGCGAGTTAACCCGGCCAAGCCTGATTGCGCATTCGCATTGGTCTCAGGTTAGTGACCGGTTAGCAAACCAAAGGTTTGATTTCAGGTTTGCGGTCGCTAAATTTAACCTGCGCTAACCTGAAATCAAGCCACAGGTTTGCTAGTCTGGTCCTACCAGATTTGAAGACTCATTCCATTCGGGGGGAGTCAAAATCAGGCACACGACAATTCAACCACCAACAACGACCAATTTGCCATGTCTCAAGCAAACCGAACTCGTGCAAGTAACTTCACCCCTGTCAAAGATGAACAACTGGCCCGTAGCTGGATTGAAGTGTCGGAGGATGTACTGATTAATAACTCGCAGACAATGGGATCATTCTGGGAAAGAGTACAGGCCCAATTCAAAGAACTCTCAGGAAAGGAAAAGGAGACCAAAACTCTATCAAACCGGTGTGTTTTTTAATCAGTATCTTCCGGCTATATCCCTTGTACTGACATGAGATTGCATTATCTGTAGTTGGGACTTGCTTCGGAAAGCGACCATGAAGTTTTCAGCACATTACAACAAGATCAAAGACCATCCTCCCTCTGGATCTGCCCCCACCGACTATCTCAAGTTAGCTAAAAAGTCTTACTACGAGGAAACCCAAAAGGTCTTTACATACGACTCAGCTTGGTCCATCCTGTACACACATGCAAAGTGGCAGGATGCGAGGGGTAATCGCAAAAAAACTCAGCCAACTTCAGAAGCTCCGCCAACGTCCGATCCCGTACCACTACCACAAACCTCAACACAAGAAAACACACCTGTCGGCAACCTGGAATCTCAAGGGGACGATCCAACCGAAGTTTGTCCAATTGGGATTAAGAGTGCCAAAAGGAAAGAAGCCGAGATTCTACTTGCTCAAAAGAAAGTCAGGCTTCTTGAAAAAAACTCTGCCGAGGGCTCCAAACGAATTGCCCAGCTCGATCGTGCCAATGAACTACAAGAAGAAACGAATCGAATTCAAAAGGAGCGGGCCCATGACTTACATCTCCAAAATGAGATGGCCATCATGGACAAGGACCTCAGCCGGCTTGATGAATACGCTCAAGAATTCTACCTCAGCAAAAAAAAGGAGATCATCGACAACATGCGAAGACGAGATGCTGCCAAACAAGCCAATGAGAATCCAGCTCAATCGACCTTGCAATCCAATGAAACCCAAAGCCAGGACAACAATGACGAGGATCATACAATTGATCCATTATTAGATGAATTGCAATAGTTTTTAGTTCATTTTCTTGATTCATTGCCTTGAATTTTAATACCAAAAAGCATGTAAGAAATCACTCTATGCAAAAAATAGATGAACGATTGAGATTTGAGAGAAAAAAAAAGCCATTTAAGAGAAAACAACTGTGATTTAAGAGAGAGCGATTGAGATTTGAGAGAAAACACAATAATAGTAAATGATTGAGATGTGAGAGATAACAGAGAGTCAAGTTTGTAAAACTAATCTAATTGCATATCATCTCCTGCACTCTCATTTTCGCCTTCTGAATCACCATCTTCGCTCCCTCCATCGTTGCTTGCAGAACCACCACCTTCACTGGCTCCTTCGCTGTCTCGGTTTTCGTTTGAATCCCCCCTCTGCCTTCTTAGTTCACCACGGCGTAGCCACTGGACATGGACAAGGTCTTTGATTAGGTAAGAATGCTGCAGGCGAGATTGTACATCCATTCTTCGGAAGTTGATCTCGTTGCTGGTGAGCGGTGGCTGATCAGGTATCGGAGGTATGACTTGAATGTCGTAAGGAAGGTTAGCCGGAGGAGGGAAAAAGCCGACGTCTCTCTCATCAATGAGCATGTTGTGCAGAATAATACAGCATATTATTACATCTTCCATCACGCTCTTGTAGAAAAATCGGCCTGGTCGGTCCAAAATCTGGAACCGTCCCTTCAGGATTCCAAACGCCCTCTCGATATCCTTCCGAGCACCCTCCTGCTTTTTGGTAAATTATTTAGCAGCCGATTTAGTTGAGCTTTTCTTTGATGGGATCAAAGAAGCCCAGGGGTTGCAGATTCCGTCAACCAGATAATAGCCATAATCGTATGTGTTGTCGCGTATCTTGAAGGAGACTTGACAGCCCAGCTTGTGAATCACGTCATCAAAGAGGGGTGATCGGTCCAGGATATTGAGATCGTTCAAAGAACCAGGGGACCCAAAAAAAGCATGCCAAATCCGAGTATCTTTAGTTGCGACAGCTTCCAGAACAACGGTGGGGTACTTCTCCTTGCCCTTGTATTGACCGGCAAGACCCAATGGACAGTTTTTCCAGCTCCAGTGGGTGCAATCTAGGCTTCCAATACATCCGGGAAAGCCACGCTTAACGTTTTCGTGCAGAATTCTCTTCAAGTCGACCTCGGTTGGCTTTCGCAAGAATTCTTCTCGATACATTTCAACGATTGCTTTGACAAAGCGACGAAGGGTATTTCGGCTAGTCGTATCAGCAAGGCGAGCATATTCATCGGTGGAATCAGATGCCACTCCATATGCTAGCAACCGCAGGGCCGAAGTAATCTTTTGACGGGTACTGAGACCTAAAAGTCCTGTACAGTCCTAGTAAATAGAATTAAGTCAGAAGCTGATTGACAGCACCAAGATAAAAAACAAGAACACACCGGCTTCTGCAAAAAGTATTCATCTTGTTCAACAATTTCTCCTTCGATCTTCATGAACAAACTTTTTGTAATTCGAAACCGTCTTTTGAAATCCTGCTTGCTGTAGATTGATGGTTCGGCAAAGTAATCAATATCAAGCTTCTGCTGGCCTTCAAAACGC